CAGTGCACAAATTTTGTGTTGAATAAGTGGTGAGAGTGGATATATTTGTCTTGTTCCTGATCTAAAAGGAAACATTTTCAGTTTTTAAAAAAATATATTTTATTGATTTTTTTTACAGAGAGAAAGAGAGGAATAGAGAGTTAGAAACATTGATCAGCTACCTCTTGCACACCCCCTACTGGGGATGTGCCTGCAACCAAGGTACATGCCCTTGACCGGAATTGAACCTGGGACCTTTCAGTCCGCAAGCCAAACGCTCTATCCATTGAGCCAAATCGGTTTCGGCAAGACAAGCTTTAAAAGATAGGATTTTTATTGAGGGTGAATCTCTTTAAGAGTACTTGCTAGGTGTGTGAACCTCAATCCAATTCCTTACCTTGCCAGGACCTAAGAGTTTACCTCCTGTCCTTGTGTGACCTTTAAAACTAAAGTACTTTGGTTACAGAGACCAGGAATTATCTTGACTCTGAGGCAGTCAGAGCATCAATACTCTTTTATCTCCTCTGGTTCTGGCCCCTGGAGTTTACTCTTATTAAACAATCTTTGAAGACAGCCATATAGTTCAAAAGATCTATCATGTTTTATCCAGCATTTCTTACAATTTTATAGCCAAGGTTCTCAGGCTATCTAATTATCTCCTATATTTGCCAGAAATGGAAGTCTAGAAAAATACTTGACTGTCTTCTGTCATTTTTCTTTTTCACAGTCACCAAAACTGAACATAATACTCTAGTTCTGTTCTAATCATTTCAGAACATTACTTCAATATTTGGGCACTACTTATCCACCAGATGTTTTGTTTTTCTCAAATTACATCACACTATTTTGGGCACCATTTTATAAATAAGCATGTCAGTTTAAGGTCGCATGGCAAAGACCAAGACTGGATCTTTTAATTGTCAGCTTTGGAGTATTTCTCTAATATGTCAATGGGAACATTTAATAAGTATGTCCTATGTGCTACCTCTATAATATGAGATAACTGACAATAGCCATATAAGATAAGACAGGTTTTATTACCCCATTTTATTTTATTTTATTTAAATATATTTTATTGATTTTTTAGAGAGAGGAAGAGAGAGAGAGAGAGAGTTAGAAACATCGATGAGAATCATCAATCAGCTGCCTCTTGCACACCCCCTACTGGGGATGTGCCCGCAATCAAGGTACATGCCCTTGACCGGAATCGAACCTGGGACCTTTCAGTCCACAGGCCGACACTCTATCCACCGAGCCAAACGGGTTTTGGCATTACCCCATTTTAATAGATGGGGGAAGTAAAGATCAGAAAGGGGAGGCTGGGGCTGATGGCAACACACAGGAGTGCCTGCTCTGAGCCTCCTCGGCGCAGGCCCTCAGTGGACACACACCAGGGATGAGGGCGTGCTGAGTGCCGGGTGGCCTCTGCATGGGAGCTGAAGAGGAAACACCTTTTCTGACAGCTCATTGGGTAAGCTCCCTGTATGCTGCCAGTTGCAGTGTTCCTGGTAACTTGGGTCATAAGAATCCAAGAAAGTGATCTGGGTTTTTCCACCTCACTCCTGGAGGAAAAAAATGAAGGTCTGCTGCTGGAGGGCTAAGAAGTGTCTTAATCTGCCCAAGCTGGTTTGGCTCAGTGGATAGAGCCTTGGCCTGTGGACCGCGGGGTCTGGTTTTGATTCTGATCAAGGGCATGTACCTTGACCTTGGTTGCAGGCTCCTCCATGGCCGGGGCCCAGGTCAGGGCTCATGCAGGAGGCAACTAATTGAAGTGTCCATCTCACATTGATGTTTCTCTCTCTTTCCCTCTCTCAAAAAACTAATGGAAACATATCCTCAAGTGAGGATAAAAAAAAGACCAAAAGAAATGTCATAGAGGATAAAGGAAGTTGTCATTTTTTCATGGTGAAGGGACTGAAGTCCATGATGAAAACACCTTGGCGGCTGTGGCAGCGGACAGTGGCAGCATCAGTGGGGTGATTGGGCTGGCACCTTCTGCTGATCAGCCCTGTCACCTCCCACAGAGGGAGGCCAGAATTCAGCTTAAGCCCGCTCTCCACAGGGAGCGGGGCTAAGCCATCAGTAGGACACCCCCTTAGGGCTCTTGGACTGTGAGAGGGAACAGGCTGGACTGAGTGACCGCCCAAATTTCGTGCACCAGGCCTCTAGTACAAATATAAGATGCATTCTTCACAGGCCATACAAAAACAGGCAGCAGGCTGGATTTGGCCCATGGCAAATGGTTTGTCAACCCTAGCTCCACGCTAGACCATCTTCTGAGATATGAGGTTCTCTAGTGTCTTTATTTCAACTATTCCTTTACTGGGTTAGCAGAGACAAGGGAAAACGAGAATGGAACAGGTTCTTTTTGTGCCCAAAGTGATTGAGGGGATTGTTGCTACGCAATCCCCTCATACTGAAGAGTGGCAATATGCAATGTAGAAATGTCTTGGTCCAATGTTAAATGTCTTTTTACATGTATATTCAAAATTAAACTATAAGCTCATTTAGGAAAGATGACTACCATCTTATTTTTAAATTTCCTTTAATGTTTAATAGTCTATGGTACCGTTAAGTGCCAAGTATTAACTGATATTAGTCCAGTATTATCCTGTTTCATTCACAGATTCTGTAAAGTAGTCAATGGGTATCATATATAGTTGTTCAATTAAATGAAAAACATAATAAACCCTGGCTGGATAGCTGAGTTGGTTAGAGTGTGGTCCTAATATGCCTAGGATGCAGGTTCAATCCCTGGTCAGAGCACATACAAGAACCAATGAATGCCAAAATAAGTGGAACATCACATTTATGTCTCTCCCTCCCTCTCTCTCAAAACAAATAAAAAATTATAAAAAAAAAAAAAAATAAGATTATATGTTTGGTTCAACTACACATAATCATCAACTTCCTTTAATTTAGTATAAGGGACAATTATGAAAAAAATTTTTGGCCCTACCTTTTTTGTCCCAATAGTTGGAGTATTTGCATGTGAATACTAAGTCTGACATTCCTTCCTCTCCTAGAACCATTTTGGTGACCTGGATGGTGGCCATTACACTGCTTTCTGCAAGAACTCAGTGACCCAAGCATGGTTTAGCTTTGACGACACCCGCGTCAGTGAGATTCCAGATACTTCAGTTCAAACTGCTACAGCATATCTCCTGTTCTACAGCTGCCAGCCCTTTTCTGTACCTATAGAAAAATGCTAGGGAAATGGTGTTTCCTGAAAGCTGCAAAACAAGCAGTCAGAAACTGGTACTTAAGTTTTGCCTTCTTATTAAATTCTTGCAACTTACTTGTATCACTGACTTTTTTCTTTCTGGTATATTATACAATTTTATATAAGATACTAGAAGCCTGGTGCACAAAAATTCATGCCTGGAGCAGCCCGGCCTGCCCCTTTCACAGTTCTGGAGCCCTTAGGGGATGTCCTGCTGATGGCTTAGGCCTATTCCCTGTGGAAGGCGACCAGGCTGATCAGGAGTAGGCGCTGTCCCCATCACCCTGTCACTGCTGCCACTGCTGGCCACCTCGGCTGCCTGCCCTTGGCCCTTGCAGCTTTCTTGGCTTTGTCCGGAAGGATGTTCAGCTGTGTGGTCTAATTAGCATATTATGCTTTTATTATAGATGTTACAGCCAAAAAAATGGGCTTTGGCATATTAAACAATGCAATGCTAATGAATTGGGAGCCTTCTAAGCACTGCAAATCACGCAGTGAGTTCCAGCTTCAAAATTCAATGTTTATTAGGGTGGATTTTTATCATAAAACATCTGATAATTTGATGTATATCTGTAACAAATTATTTTCCAAAAATACTTACTAGAACAAAACTTTTTGTTCTAGTGGCACTGTGTGCTTAAGAGCGTGATTGGAAAATATTTTATTGATCAGATAATTTAGGAAAAAACTATGTCTCTTAGACTAATGAGTCCCTGAGGTAAATGATAAATTCTAAGCTCCTCTATTTCTTTTAATACATCACTCATAAAAACGTGGGGTTCATAATGCAGTCCACTTTGCAATAATACATGACTCCTATTCCTTTTTATCTCAATTCTAAGAATTCTACTACTCTTGATAGAATGAGTCTCGATATTATATCTTATTATGACTCCCAAATCTGAGAACCCTAAGTGCTAGAAGCAGCACTGGGTCAAGTTGAAAAAAGAGTGGAATTGAATCCTGATGCTAACAAGGAAAGTGAACTAAATTTCAAGTTAGTGTAGTGGGACAAAGAGTGTGTGTGTGTGTGTATAAAATCTATAGTTCTACTGTCCTATATTTGATAATATAAAATTAAAGACAGAACACTTAAAAGGTTTTTAATTATTTTTCTCATTAAGATTTTAATATAGGTGTAAATGAAAATTCTCATTTTAAAAAATTAGAGAAAAGTTTCCATTTATTTCTTTAGAATAAAGATTTAGTGCACAAATACAGCCCAAAGCCAAAAGAAAAATAGCTTTGCCCTGTCATTTCCCTAAGAAAGCACTGCAGTTACTCAGAATAGGCCAAAAGAAAAAAAGCAATCCCTGGAGTTCTAGATTTCATGGAAGGACCACATATGATACTATGTACATCGATTTGATGTGCAAGTGTGCAATAAATATATACACATACATTCCTATCTGCTTCATATTCTAGAATATTCATAGATCAAGCTGAGGTTTAGAAATGTGAAAAGGCCATAACAGTGAAAATGAAAACAACGAATACACAGTTTTTAGACCAGTAGAATAATAATGCATAGCTACTTATTTCAACTTTGGAACAAACTAAAAAAGTTATTATGATGTCAACGGTACCTCTAAGGAATGCTTACTGCAATACTTGTTAAATGTTATTGGTCGTTTTTTTTAATAATAGCACTGACCTGGAATATATGATATTAGTAACACAGCTCTCATGGTCTTACAATTCCTCTAAATGGCCAGGTAGAGCTGTCCAGGATCTTTATAAGCATTTCCAGAGTTGTGTTGCTCAGCCTTCTAAAAGATAACTAGCTTACAACATACTCTTAAGTGGCTATATCGGTTGCTCGTGGTCCCAAGGAAGTATAAAAGAGAATATAAGCTGCTGAAGATTTCACAGACGAAACGGAGATATCAGAAACTTCATGATCATCAAATTTAAACCACCGCTGTCTTGCTGCATTTTTGCAATAGGCAGTGTAGTGGCCTCCATCCAACCCACCGTAGTGATTCTGTGCCAAATGAGAGAGAAAATAAATTCAGATGGAGTTATTTAAAATACGTCAATAATTTCAAAGCTTTATGTTGTTACTTTCCTATGCTATAAGAAACCATTGGAAACATTATTTTGTTTGCTTTGAAAAAAAAGTATTTAGTTCAATGATATACTTACTGAAACAGAAAACAAGTTATATTTCTTCAAATTGTTCTTTGGACCAATAACATATTGTGACAAGTCAAGATTTTCTAACGGAAAGTCCACAGATGTCTGTAATTTTTGCTTCCACCTGCCATCATAGGAAAAACTGCAAAGCCAAACATTACACAATTATATGCATGGAAAGACATAAGAATGAGCCCTAATTCATTTTAACAATCTAGATATTTAACCAGGACCACAAAATCCATTTCAATCACACACTCAGAATTTTAGCAGCAGAGGGACCTATTAAAGACATTTGGTTTCACTGCTACTTTACAAGTGAGGAAACCTAGGCACATAGATATCAAATGGCTTGCCCAAGGCCAAACAGCTAGAGTGGCAGAGGTAGGGCCACACCTTGGTCCCCTGATCTGTAGGCTAGCCACGACAGTTAGATGCATCCTCTAGAGAGAGAACAGTTCTGGAAAACTCCACTTGTAATAATAATCTCTACCAAAGTACTGAGGAAAGACTGCAGAGAGCTACTCTCAATTGAAGCTTGCACTTTTGGAGAAACTAGAGCGGGAAACTGCAAGCATGTGGACTAGTGACTGAAATAATGCCATTGCATTATCCTGGCACACTCTGCTCCTTTAAATACCAAAATACGGGTACTTTGGTTGGTGTGATACGATTACTTCAGAATTATTTTTAAAAAACCTGAATTCTGAACCATTTATATTTTTAGCTATTCTCTAAGAGTAATATAAAGCATTAAAAATTTTAACAGAACAAGTGTGTGATTATTTTTGTAGTGTTTATCTCCAGTCCTCAAGATTTAGAAAAGAATAATTGATCTAACCAATTTTGTTAGGAAAAATGAATTTGAACATGTCAGTATTAAAATTAATATAAGAATCCCCAATACTACAAAATGTAAAACAAAAATTATAGCCCAGTTGGGTGTGGCTCTGTGGTTGACCACTGACCTATGAACCTGGAGGTTGTGGGCTCGAACCCCAGTGGGGGGTGTGCAAGAGGCAGCTGATCAATGATTCTCTCTTGTCATGATGTTTCTTTCTCCCTCCCTTCTTCTCTGAAATCAATAAAAAATATGTTAAGAAGTAGGCAATGGATCCTTTCTCTGAAATGAAGAAAAATATTAAAAAAATAGTTCTCAATAAAAACATGAAATTTCCTTTTTAAAAAGTTAAAAAAAAAATGTCTCAAAGTTATCACTCCACAGATGGAACACATAAAGACAGAAGAATTGGAGCAGAAGACTTGAGATATATTTTGCAGCTCTTTCCCATTCCTTCTACTACTACAGGTCAGATCTTTTTCACTGGTTGGAAAAATCTGGACAAAACTATATCTGCACTCAACAATGTCATCCTTATGTTTTAAAGACAGAATTACATAAAAGAGTGAGTGGTGGTATCATTTTGCTCTGTTACTGCAAATACTAAGGTGAACTAGAATCTCATCATTTCTGCCTTATTCCCTGGAGATACCCTAACCAGAGAAATCTTCCTTGATGATGCATCCTTAGCAGGCAATACCACAAAGTGACTTAGAATAAAGGATTTAGAATTCCTTCATCTAAACTGTACTAAACAGGTAAAAAATATTGTGCCCTTTACCGTTTCAGATGCACTAAAAGCACAGGTGGTAACTTCCAGATTTCTATCTTTTTTAGAGAATCCCTTCGAGCTCTGCAATGACTGCAGTAAAACCTGTTATTATCTGTGAGTTTTTCTTCTTTGGAAAATAACCTAAGGCAATCCTAGAGGGCAAAAAGAAGTAGTACTCATTAATTCATTTCTTTAACACAATGTCATTGAGCATCTATTCAGTAATTTACTCTGCCTAGATGAAGGGGACAATAGTAAAGTAGAACAAAACAGTTTCTACCCTCACAAAGTTTATGATCTGGTGAGTAGTGCAGACCCGAGAGCCTTCATGACACCACATGTAGCGAGTGCTGCCTGTGGTGAGCAGAAGAGGTCCTGCATCTACTGAGAGCATAATTCTGAGGCTCAGGAAATCTTTTGGAAGAAAGGACATCCTCCAAGAAGCTTACACTAGAGATCAACAAGCGACCTAAATCACATTGCTGTTGTATGGAAAACAGGATGTTCATTTGATATCCACACGTAAAGCACATTCTTTTTTTATTTTTATTAAAAATATATTTGATTGATTTTTTTCAGAGAGGAAGGGAGAGATATAGAGAGCTAGAAACGTCGATGAGAGAGAAACATCGACCAGCTGCCTCTTGAACACCCCCTACTGGGGATGTGCCCGCAACCCAGGTACATGCCCTTGACCGGAATCGAACCTGGGACCTTTCAGTCCACAAACCGGTTTTGGTGTAAAGCACATTCTTATAAAAAGAAGACCTAAAATCAACATCGTTTTCCAAATTAACTTTAAAAATTTCACAATACAAACTTAAAAAAAAATTTAACATATATATATATGTTATTTATCAGCTCTGAAAGAATATTTAATAAGAAAATAGATCTGGCCCTAGCCAGTTTGGCTCAGTGAACAGAGTGTCAGCCTGCGGACTGAAAGGTCCCAGGTTTGATTCCGGAAAAGGGTACATGTCTGGGTTGCGGGCTCAGTCCACAGTGGGGGGCGTGCAGAAGGCAGCCAATCAGTGATTCTCTCTCATCAATGTTGTTTCTATCTCCTTCCTTCCTCTCTGAAATCAATAAAAAAAAAAATTATTAAAATGAGTATTAAAAAAAAATAGATCTGAAAAAAATTCTTACTTGAGGAAATTTTTTCTAATCCACATAAGCCTAATTAAAATAATTTATGTGTTAGTTTTACCTATGTTAATAGGGGTAAAAAACAGACATAAATTGCTGAATAAAGTATATTTTTATATGCATACAAACAGCATTTTTATTCAGTAAATCCTTTTCTCTCAATCATAAACTTACCTGTAAGGTACATTTACTAGTGGATGCTAGGGGCAGAGACAAGTACATGAAGGCCTCAAACGTCCTAGACTTTCTGTGACAGGTGAGGCACTGTACTGTGGATTTGAACTGACCCTGGAAAAGTGCTACAATAATGGATTCATTGAGCTGCTTGTGTTTCTGCCAAGCATGTTCTGCTGCTTTAAAGTCATCAAGATGATCATTATTCTCTTCTTTATGTCGCTTCCGATTATCAGCCTGGAAATAAGATTATTTAAACTCTATATTAATATCTTAAAGTCAGCATCGAAATATAAAATGGACAGAAATGTATTAAAGACAAACACTGCGGATTTTGAAATACTTCTGATTCTTTTCATAAAGGAGTTCTAATCTCATTAAGCACCTCAAAAAAAATTTTTTTTTGCCAAAAAAACCCACTTTATCAAAAGAGTGTGACTTGTTGGAATTGCTTAATGAATTTTTATTTAAAAAGCTGAAAACTCTGGTTTTAGAAACAGAAAACATGCTACATGTAGCTGGGAGTATGGGCTACAACTACCGTATTTCCCTGAAAATAAGACATCCTCCGAAAATAAGACCTACTTACAGGTTTCCTTCTGAGTGAAATATAAGGCATCCCCCTGAAAATAAGGCCCTCCCTAGGCTAAACATGAGAGATTTGGTCCACTGATTCTGAAAGAAATGGAGTCACAAGAAATTCACCAGGAAATTCAGGAATTGGATTGTTATGATGATGTTCCAGAAGATGAAGACATGATTGTCATTGAATAAATGAGTAAATTCTTGATACTGTAGGATTCAGTTTGTCTGGTTTGTGTTGACAACTACCATACTACCATACTGTATACAGGTAATAAATTTCCTTTATTTTCATTTAACAATAAATGTGTACCGTATTCTTCATGGAAAAATAAGACATCCCCTGAAAATAAGACCTAGTGCATCTTTGGGAGCAAAACTTAATATAAGACAGTGTCTTATTTTTGGGGAAACAGGGTAGACAGATGTTATTTTGTTGTCCTAGTCTCAGGGATGTGTGTTTGCGCACACGTGCACACACACATACACACACTCTAGAGGCCCAGTGCACGAAATTCTTGCACTGGTAGGGTCTCTAGCAGCTGCCGGCCAGGTACTCCCTCCCTTCCCCCAGCCAGCCTGGCCCCCCTGGTCAAACTCCTGGAAGAAATCTGGTTGAGGGGATAATTTGCCTACTATGCTTTTGTTATATAGGATATTCATACTATACACTTATACACAAGGTACATATACAAACACACTATATTTATGTTTATGTATGTAAAAGTGTGTGTATAGGGAGGTACAAAGAACAGCTTGGTGCTAAAAGGTAACCATAGTGTTTAAACAGATTGGTCATTTATATAGAGATATGCTACAATAATCACCTTTGACATGAATCATTTGTGGTTACATGGAATAATTCTTATTTTAGAAAAAAGTATAATCTCTCTATATAAAAGCCTAAGCAACTGGCCTATGGCCAACCGTCCAGGAGCTATGATGAGCAGTGACAGGAGCAGAAACCACAGGCATGAAAACATGGAACAGACTGATGAGTCTCAGGGGAAAGAAAGGGGGAGGGAAGGAAGAGATTAATAAAAAAAATCTTATATGCATAATAGAGGCCCGGTGCCCAGATTCATGCACCGGTGTGGTCCCTCAGCCTAGCCTGAGCCCTCTTGCAATCCTGGATCCCTTGAGAAATGTCTGAGAGCAGGTTTCAGCCTGATCCCTGCAGGATATCTCTAATAATTATTTTAACATTTATAAATTTCTTACAATACAACCTGCTAACGTTTTAGTGAATAAATACAAATTGTATATACTTCTTCAAATACTAGACCTACCAGATATATGCGTTTTATAGTTTCAAACATTAATACAAAGTCACTAGACATGATAAAATAGCACTGAACAATCACTAACTGTAATTTTAAATGGCTATAAAAATTACATGTTGAACAAACTTAAAGAACAATCAAAATTCTTACTTTATTTAGATCTTCATGGAGACCGTCCATTAGGAACAGAAGCAGTTCTTGTGAATCTTGCTGGCTGTATCCTGCAAACTGATCATTGATCTTTCCGATGGTGATTTTAAAGTCTTTTGGACTGATATACCTGTACTGTCCTGTCCATAGTGCTTTCATGATTATGCCAAATTCTTCTGCCACTTCACCTTTATGACCCAACAAATTTGACCTTGGAAAATAAAGTTACAAAAAAGCAAGTTGTAAGCAGTCAAGGTGCAGTGGGATCTTAATGTCAACATTAAACTATTAATGTACTACCAGTGACCTGTTGCAGGAATATTCCAGCAAGACTTTCGGTGGGCTTCCCTCCCGTCCCCCTACCTCTCCCGCTGCGGCTTCCCTCCTGCTTGCCCCGCCTGACCCGCCTTGCCAGTCACACGCCTCACCGCACTGCGCCCACCGCCCCTGCTGCTTTCTGCCACTGCCCCTCCACTGGCCGTGTGCGGCACTGCTGTGCGCCCCGCCCCGCAGGCGCTGCCAGTGCTTTCCCTCCAGCAGGGGCAGCCGCTTTGCTTTCCACTTTCCCTCCCTCTTCCTTCTATGCTGTCTTCAGTCTTCACTCCTCCCACGGTGTATGCAAATTAACCACCATCTTTGTTGGGTTAATTTGCATACTTACTCTGATTGGCTAGTGGGCATGGCTTGTGGGTGTAGTGGAGTGATAGTTAATTTGCATATTATTGTATTAGGTAGGATGACCTTACACTAACATACTTATTCACAGGTGTATTACCAAATACCCACCTGAACCTGACTTTGATCACACGCCTGACTGGCTTCTTTACAGCTGCCAGCCCCACACTGTCTCTTCTTCCTCACTGACAGGCTCCAGTTTATGGCCACGAGGGCCTGGCCTCCTGCACTTCTCCTTTCATGTCTGTCCTTTACCTATTAGAAGAGGCTTTTCTCTATATTTTTCTAAAGAAAAAAATTATTTTTCCCTTCCCTACTCTGACTTCACTGGAAGGAGCTGGGTGGTTACATCACTCATAAAAAAACTTTTTTAAAAAAAATTGATTTCAGGAGAGAAAGGGAGAGGGAGAATTAACCATTTGTAAGCCTTAAACGTCTATATACGCAAGCAGCAGACCTTTTTAAATTAAATTAAAAATATCGTGGCAGTTAACTGGCTAATCATTGACCGGCTGCCTCCTGCACCCACTGCTACTGGGGACCGAGCTTACAACCTGGGCATGTGCCCTGACCAGGAATCAAACCATAAGCTCCCAATTCCATAGGTCAACACTTAACTGTTGAGCAACATCAACTGGGTTATATCACTCTTTTTACATTATATTGCAAAAAGTATTTATTTACCTGTTAATATCATCCTGATAACAGTTTCGGTTGAAATAATCAGCCAAATGTGTAGCATTACATAGGCACTGCAGTATTGAGTTCATATAACAAGTATTTCCTAAATTACGAAGTCCAGTGAGAGCCGGTCCAGATCCTCCAAACACAGGATTGAGGTTCCGAATCTGAGAAGCAGAAAGCCTTGTGATCTCCGTTTTAGGATAGCATGCTGGCCTGAGGGGGAAAAAGGCGTACAAGATGTCTTAGAAGACACGGCATGTGAAAATAAAGTTTAAATGACAAAAGGCAGCAAACTCTAGGATATATACTACAGAAAGCAGTAATCTTGTAAAGTGTTAATAACTTAGCTAGGTACTAGGTCTACTGAACATTTAACACCTAGGTGACACATATTCTGTGACCCTCCCATGAACAGACTTTGAACCTCTTTTGTGGGCCCACGGGTCTTACAGACATCCTGAGATAGATCCCTGCTTCTCATGAAGAGGTAAAGTCTCCTAGTAAAGAAGGCCCTTTCAAACTCCACTAAATGATTCTGGCAAGTTTAGTAATACCAAATGTTGAATTCAACAGAATACAAAAAATGGAATACAACATACACACCTGAGGGGGCAAAAGTAGTTTATATAAAAAGTAATACATTAATAAATAAAAATATAAGAATAAACTCTGTTTCATGTACCCACAGTTGTAAATCTGTACATTACTATGGAGTATAGCAAAAGAGGAAGAGGTTATTTGGGTACTATTCCCTAAAGTCGAGAGCTGTGCTGACAAATATGGTAGCCATTAGCTACAGATGAATGGCTATTTAAATAAAAATATTAATAAAAAAATTTCAGCTCCTCAGTTACACTAGTCACAATCCAAAGTAGCTACTACCACATTGGACAGTACAGATCCAAAACATCTCCATCATCAAATATAGAGAATATTTCTATCAACATGTCTACTGGACAGTATCAGACTAGTGAATGCCTCTAAGACTGTCATTTAGGATGTCTGAACTACTATAGCATTAAGAAAAATCTTACCTGGTAGGTTTTTCTGTTATTATTGATCCTAATCATTAATAGTTCACCCTAAAGAATACACACACACACACACACAGACAAATATATCTATATCTATTTATGTATATATACCTATACACATGCATATATATGTATATATCTATATATGTGTTTATATATATATATATATTTAGATATATATATATTTAGATATATTTTTATTGATTTTAGAGAGGAAGGGAGAGGGAGAGAGAATCATTGATCAGCTGCCTCCTGCACACCCCCTACTGGGGATCAAGCCCATAACCTGCACATGTTCCCTTGACCAGAATCAAACCCAGGATCCTTCAGTCCTCAGGCCAATGCTCTATCCACTGAGCAAAACCAGCTAGGGCCACCCTAAAGGAATATTGAGAATCCATGGAGAAACTAATTTCAATTGCTTTTCTTAACATGTGCTCAGGTGTTTGCACTCATTTATTTTCTCTGTTCAATATATATAAAAATACATAAAATGCATATGTAAAGTCTTTAAAACTATGAAATTAACAAGTTTTATTAAGAATGATGATGCAAGAAAGAATTAAATCTCACCAGTTTTAACAGTGAGCCCTAAAATCTATAACTAGATTTAGAGATTTAATAAGGTAAACTCAACAAGCTTATAAATTATGCTCCTTAAAGAGATTAAGAACTATGAAAACTTTTAGGTAGTCTATAGCATAGTGTCTTAAAATGTAATAATGAATACCATATATGCCTTTATATCTACTTTAATGCTTATGATAGTCTTCTCTGACATATTTAAATTAGCACTTGGGAGAAAAACCGAGAACATTTTAATCCAGTAATTTCTTTTTTCTTCTGTGGCTTCTGGTGAAGCCAGATACAGAAATTTCTGACTCCCTGACAAAATAAGTTATGTTTACAGCAGTTTACAAAGGAAGCAGGTTATTCTAGTTTTAGGGGTTAGGATAAACTTACTTGTTTTCCCGATTGACTGCTGGAGTGACTGTTGGCTTCCTCTTCTCTTCCTCTTGGATGGCCTGGGTTATATCTGGGGAAGAGTAGGAGCGCTTCAGCTTGGACGGTTCCCTGTCCCGCTCAGCAGGGATCTGTGGCTTGGCTTTATGAGTTGGAGGGGTGGAAGGAAGTGCAGATGAAGGAGCCATTTCCGGTGGATACATATGAACTGAGTTGGTGGGTGAATGATAATAACGAAAAGTTCCAGTGATTGGGTCAAGAAACTTAGTTGGAAAAGGAAAAAAAAAAAAAAAGAAAAGAAAAGAAACAGGTCAAAAACAACAATGACCATTACATGAACAACAACAAAAATCACTCAAAAGTACTGCTAAATTTGATTTTGGATTAAAATATTCTGGATAGAATGGTAATAATCACTTCTATAATTAAACTTCCAAATAACTTTAGGTTTTAAATTAAAAGTGCCAGTAATGCTCATATATTATATCCAGCATCTCAGATTGGATACGTAAAAATCTAACTCTGCTATAATTAGGAAAATAAGCTAAATCTTCTATAATGAAACAGAACTGAGTGTATTGAAAATGTAGAATAAAGAAACAAAAAAAAGAATACTCCCCTCCTCCACCTCCCTAAAGAATACAATAACCATGTTATTTATTTATTTATTTATTTCTGTGCTAATTTGGACTTTTACCTTGACCCAGCCTAAAGGCAGTCCTGGTACGATTCTCCCCATTTCTTCACTTCGTGCTCTTGTCAAAGGCTCCCGGGCCTAGTTTATTTATAAAAGGGAAAAAAAAAATCTGATTTACAAACTTAAGCAACTTGTACAAGAGAATCAAAAGCCTTGTGTTGGTTGCCCTTTATATATTATCTATACTAATAATAGAGGAATATGCAAATTGGTCATTGCTTGTCACAGTAACAAGCAATGACCAAACAGCAGGATGCATGAAGCAACCAGGCTGAAGGGGGCAGGGGGGACAGTTGGGGGCAACAAGGACGGTGGGGGGGGGGGGGTGGGGGGGTAGTTGGGGGCGCCCAGGTCAGCAGAGAGGGGCAGTTGGGGTGACAAAGCTGGCAGGGGGGACAGTTAGGGGCAATCAAGCCGGCAAGCAAATGTAGTTAGGGGTGATCAGGCTGGCAGAAGGAACAATTAGAGGCTGGGGCAACCAGGCCGGCAAGGAAGGCAGTTAGGGGTAACTAAGCTGGCGGGGGGCGGGGGGGTGGGGGGAGGCAATTAGGGGTGATCAAGCCAGCAAGCAAAGGTAGTTAGGGGTGATCAGGCAATTAGGGGCTATTAGGCAGGCAGGCAGGTGAGCAGTTAGGAGCCAGTTGTCCCAGATTGTGAGAGGGATTAGGATTGGGCCTAAATTGCAAGTTGGACATCCCCTGAGGGGTCCCGGATAAGAGGGTGCAGGCTGGGCTGTGGGGACCCCTTGCCCTGTGCACAAATTTCATGCACTGGGACTCTAGTACCATCTAATCAAAGAGTAATATGCAAACTAACCAGCACTCTGCCATACCCACAAGCCACGCCCACAAAGCCAATCAGGAATGAGTATGCAAATGAAACCAACCAAGATGGCTACGACCATGGAGCAAGCAGGAGGCTTGGGTTTCCCCCAGCAATGGAGGAAGCCAAGCTTTCCACACACCCTTGATGGCCCAGGCCTCCACTCAAGGCTACAAAGTTTCAATTATAGAAGATAAATAAATCCCAGTTACCAGGGCCTCTGCTTGGGTCACCGGGGGACCTGGCCTATCTGCAAACCACCAGAGGCCCCTTGCCTAGGCTGCCTTATGCCTCAAGGGAACCCCCACTCTGATCCGGGACACCCTTCAGGGCAAACCAGCCAGCCCCAACCCATGCACCAGGCCTCTATCCTAATAAAAGAATAATATGCAAATTGACCATCATTCCAACACACAAGATGGCTGACCCCAGGTGATTAAAGATCCTGCCCCCATGTGGACATAAGATGGCCATCACAAGATGGCCACCTGGGAGAGCAGTTGGGAGGGACCAGGCCAGCAGAAGAGGGCTGTTGGGAGGGACCAGACCTGCAAGGGAGAGCTGTTGGGGGCGATCAAGCCTGCAGGGGAGGGCAGTTAGGGGTGACCAGGCTGGCAGAGGGAAGTTGGGAGTGACTGGGCCTGCAGGGAAGAGCAGTTGGGGGGAGATCAAAGCCTGCAGGGGAGAGCAGTTTGGGGGGACCATGCCTGCAGGGGAGGGCAGTTAGGGGCAAATAGGCTGGCAGGGGAGCAGTTAGGCATCAATCAGGCTGGCAGGGGAGTGGTTAGGGAGTGATCAGGCTGGCAGGCAGAAGTGGTTAGGGGCAATCAGGAAGGCAGGCAGGCGAGCAGTTGGGAGCCAGCAGTACTGGATTGTGAGAGGGATGTCCAACTGCCAGGTAGGATCGGGCCTAAGGGAAATCCCCCCCGCCCCCATGCATGAATTTCATGCACCAGGACTCTAGTTCTTAAATAAAGCTCTTAAAAACAAAGGCAAAGATGTCTCATAAAAGACCTATTTCAAAAGTTGTGATGAAATACACAAAATTTACCATCTTAACCTCTTTTTTTCTATCTTAACCATTTTTAAGTGGCAAAAGTATATTCACATTGTTGCACAACCCACCTTCAGAACCCTCTTCATCTTGCAAAACTGAAACCCTGTACCCATTTAAACAACTGCTGTACTCAACCCATCCTCAGACCCCTGGCAATCACCACTCTATTTCCTATCTCCATGAATCTGACTGCTTTAGGTACCTTATACAAATGGAATCACAGTTTGTCCTTTAGTGACTGGTATATTTCAGTTAGCATAATATCTTCAAGATTTATCCATGGTATAGCATGTGTCAGAATTTCCTTCCTTTTTAAGGCTGAGTGATATTCCATTGTTTGTACATACCACATTTGTTTATATATTCATCTGTTGATGGTTACTTGGGTTGCTCTATCTTTTTACTACTGTGAATAATACTGCTATGAAAATGGATGTATAAATATCTCTTTGAGGTCCCACTTTCAATTATTTTGGATATATCTCCAGAAGTAGAATTCCTGGATCATACAGTAAGGCCTAAATATTTTTTAATTTCATAAAATAAATAGAATATACTATTGTACTTTAAATAGGAAGATAAACAGCATATAATCATGCAAAAACAAACACAAATCAGCTACCAGAGGTAGCAAAAATTCCCTTAGAGAAATTTTAAAATGGAGAATGAATGTTATGGTAATAATTAACATATGGCATGTTATAATCCATGTTTTTCTCCACCCAAAGAATGACTACTTACTTTATTTCTTTCAGTGTCTTCTGTATTCTCTCTAAAAGTTCCAGTCTTTAGAATTCCACTTTCTGGCTGTCCTTTAATCTTAACAGGCTGTAAAATTATTAAAATTTCAGAAGTGAAAAAACAGTTGAATTTCCCCCCAATATACACCTAACATAAGCTAATATAAGCAAATTTACCAAATATATAAATATTTGAAAATGTAAAAGGAGAAAAAATTGAGGCCTCTGAAAAGTTTATGCAATTTTATTGTCAAAGGAAAGGTGGTAGAGCCCATGTGAGATTTCCTAATACTAAAGATAAAGAACTAAAAATTTCTGATGGGTCAATTGGAAAAAAAAAACCTGACGCAAGTCACAGTGGCTTATCAAGCACTGATTCATAATACATGGCGAAGTACAAAATATTAGTCATTAGTATAATTCTCCAAGGCCTCTTTTGAACAATAAATAAATATGCTTTTATTTAAATCTCATATGATTTTGGTTACCTTGAAAGTGGCATGTTAAAAAAAAAAAGTATTAAAGGGAATGAAGAGATTGTAAAATTTTATAAAGAGTGGTATTCAAAAGTATAAAACCCCATTTTACCTCCTCTTGGAACCAAGCATAATTTCTTATATAAATTCACTTTAGCCTGGCTGGTGTGGCTCAGATGCATTGTGCCATCATCAAGATGCATCAAAAAGTAACCAGTTTGACTTCCTATCAGGGCACATGCCACCATTACAGGCTCAATCCCCCCCTAGCGGCTTTGTAGGAGACAGCCGATGGATGTTTCTCTCTCATCAATGATTCTCTCTCTTCCTCTCTTTCTAAAAAATCAATGAAAAGATATTTTTAAAAATTAACGTTCATTTATAAATAATCACAGTAAAGTAAAAAGTTAAAAATGTGTAATAACTTTTTTAGAGATAACTATTCATTTTTTAAAAATAAATTTTTATTCATTTCAGAGAGGAAAGGAGAGGGAGAGAGAGACTGAAGCATAAATGATGAGAGAGAATCACTGATTGGCTACCTTCTGCACACCTCCCACTGGGGATTGAGCCTGCAACCTGGGCAGGTGCCCTTGACTGGAATCCTACCTGGGACCCTTAGCACACAGGCTGACGCTCTATCCACTGAGCCAAAACGGCATGTGTAATAATTATAATAAAATTTATTCTAGAATAAATTAGATATTTTGCTCACTTTTAAAAGAAGCATAAAATAAAAAAAAAAAATAGCACATACAAGGAAGGCAATCTTAACTTTTTTACAATCCTATAAAATAAAAGGCTAAAAGCAAATTGGGAGTTTGACCGACCGGGAGTTTGCTTGTTATGATCTGCACTGACCACCAAGGGGCAATGAAGAACAAAGGAAGGCCCCAGCTGGCAGCCAGGGGAAGGAAGGCCCTGATTGGCCCTGATCACGGCCGGGCTTAAGGACCCTTCCTGTGTACGAATTTCATGCAGCAGGCCTCTAGTGTGTTATAAGAAACATCAAACACTATTATGTGGTAATCTCAGGGATATTTAGATCTGTAGGAATATTTGGCACCTATACTAAATAACTGCAGAAATATGAATGTTTTACATTCTTTATGTTCTTATGACTGCCTACCACTAAGTATAGCAAGATGGAAAGGAAGTCACTTTGGAATCTCACTGCATATGTGACCTTAAGCAAATTAACCTCTAAATTTCATTGTAAATAGAATACCTCATGGAGTTATCATTAGGAGGAATAAGATAATGTAGGGAAAAACATGTGTCTATAGTAGCTACTCAATGAATAATATTTAAATGATAAGAGCTCTTAAGTTCTGATTCTCCTATGAATAAAGTATTAGTATATAGGCTTCATTTCTCTAACATTGTGTGTTTAGAAAGGTTACTGTATGGCAGCTATATTTTTGATAGCTAAGGTTACCAGATCAGAGTTGCCTGGAGAAGTGAGGCATTAATAATTGTTAACTTTGATATATGCTTGAGAAGTATAGAAATGAACAATCTTTAAATGTGGCATTTCACCTTCCATCAAAAATCATTTTAACACTATCAAAATTTTATTTCCATTTAAATGTAGGTAAAAAAAAAAAAAAAAAGGGCTGTACCTATTCCTGCTATTATAGAAACTTATTTAGTGTTCAAAGGGAAAGGCATTGTTAACTGCATAACAGAGGAAAAAAATTGACAAAAAAAATGCCCTCAATAGTTAAAGAAACCAATTTTGGGGGATAGCCCTGGGGCAGAGAAAGGCAATATGAATGGGGTTATTGCCAGTATTCTTGATTACATGAAGCAACAGAAAAAATAGCAGAACTGACAAAAGTTTAAAAAAATCATTGTACACAAAAATAAATGTTAGGCCATTTAGATATCACTGATTTAGGACATATTCTAAACAGATACAAAATCTATTATATCAATACCAGAGGCCCACTGCACGAAATTTGTACACAGGGTGAGTGGGTCCCTCAGCTTGGCCTGCACCCTCTTCAATTAGGGAGCCTCGAGGGATGTCTGACTGCCGGTTTAGGCCCAATCCAACTGGGACAACTGGCTCCTACCCGACTGCCTGCTTGCCTGCCTCATTGCCCCTAACCACCTCTGCCTGCCTGCCTGATCACCCCTAACCATCTCTGCCTCGACCCTGCTCCTGAGACCCAGGATTCCCTCCCTCTGGCTGTCCCCGGGACAATGGGGACCCGGGCCAGCCACAGCCGCAACAGACCGTGGGCAGGTGGTTTTGCCCAGGACGCAGCTGGTGTTCGGCTTTTCTCCCTCTCCTGGGCCATAGCCGCAGGCGCTGGTGCCCAAGACCACAGGGTGGGTGGCTTTTCTCCCCTTCCCGGGCCGCAGGCGCTGGCGTAGGTGCCTGGGACCACAGGGTGGGCAGCTTCTCCCAGGCCCGGCTTTGTTAGGAAGGATGTCTGGATGGTTGTCCGGAAGACGTCCAGTCTAATTAGCATATTACCCTTTTATTAGTATAAATATAAATTGGGCACCTAATTCCTCCATACAGAAAGGAAACGTGTATTTCATTCTAGTCTTTGATCATTACACATCAAAATAAGAAGAATGTTGCTATTAATTTCAATTATTAAAAAATATGTTGTATTTCACAGACACAAAGAACAATTCCACTCTCAACCAAAAGAGAGTAGGTGAGCAAATGTATCCATAGATGGATCAGTACAAATCCCCCTCTACTAAACTACTTAGAATGCCTGCCCTGTTTATGGAAGGCTCCTGCTGTCATCTTTTTATGTGCATTTTATTTCACTTAACTAACAATTTGTACTATTTGTGTCCGCTTACCTTGCCTGAACTTGCATCTCCTGCCACAGAGGAATGGGGCACATCTCCCACTGACTTTTTCTGTACCTCGGGAGTGGGACACATTTCCCCCCTATCTTCCACAGATTTCTTGGCATCGGTAGTTTCATGTTCACTTTTACTTTGTCTTTTTACTCCTGTTATTTCTCTGCCCCTCTTTGCTGAGGTTTCTTTATCTTCTTTCTTGGCCTGTTCACTCTCTCTCTTCTCCAGTTCTTCTTTTGCCTTTTGTTGCTTCTCTATGAATTCATTTTCTTCAGCTTCTTGTTTCTTTCTGGCTTTTTGTTCCTGTTCTTCTCTTTTCAGTTTCTCTTTCTGTTCCTCTTGCTGTCTTCTCCGAAGTTCTTTCTCTTGTTTGTTTTTTTCCATTAAGAGAGCCGTTTCTGCATGAATACGAGCTTTTTCTTCATCTGTTAACATGGCAGTTGGAGGGGGAAGTACTGGCTTTGTGGAACGATCAGGAACAACTTTTCCATTTTGAGGAAACTGTTGCTCATGATCTGTACTTTCATATTTTATTCTATAATCTTCAGGCAATCTGACTGCTGGTTTTTTAGTACGATCAATCTATAACAACAAAAACAGAACAAAACATACTTTTGTCAAAATCTAGGAACTCATGTCTTAAAATCAAGTTGTGGTAAAAAAAAAAAAATCTGCCAGAATATCTATTTATAAACTACCCTCATGAAACACTTAGCACTCTCAATTCTACACATTCAGTACATCTTGGTGTGTTCGGTATATGGAAGAGTTAATTCTAAAACATAAAACCTAGACCTGGGCATACCTAGACTTAAGCTCCATTACTACATATTCAGTTGCCTACTCAACAACTTCATGTGAGTATCTTATAATACAAACCTAATATGCCCAAAATTGAATTCCATGATTTCCCCCAACAAACATGGAATCTTGTGGATATAAACACTATCAAAACAGCAGCTCAAACTAGAGAACTGAATCGCATATGTTCTCCCCTGCCCTTCTGTGGTCTGATGATTCTCCTCTCTCACCCTCCTTCTCCATTAGCAACAGCAAAGTCCATGCCAACCACACTCTTTCATAGCTTCCAACTTGCCTCATTCCTTCTCTTGCCTCCCTTCTATTTCTCTACATTGTGGCCAGAAAAACAAATCTATGTTTTCCACCTGCATAAAATCCTATTTTAAACAGCAACTCACTGTACCCAGAGGACATCTAAAATCCTTACCATGGTGGTCTCACTTCTTTCTGCCTATCTCTCCAATCTTATTTCATATCATCCTATACACCAGCCATACTTTCCTTTTCACACACATCCCATTCTTATTGAATATGTTGGGGTGACCTGGTTAATAAAATTAGATTTCAGGTGTACAATTCTACAATACATCATCTATATATCTTAGTGTATATTCATCTGTATATTCACCACCCCAAGTGAAGTCTCCTTCCATCACTATTTATCCCCCTCTACTCCCTTTACCACTCCCCAACCCCTTCCTCTCTGATAATCAACCATACTATTGTGTCTATGAGGTTTTTTTTTCTTTGCTTATTCCCTCCACCATTTTCACCCAGCTCACCTACCCCTGTCCTCTTGCAGCTATCAGTCTGTTCTCCGAATGAGTGTTTCTATTCTATTTGTTAGTTTATTCTATTCATTAGATTCTACATAGAAGTGAGCTCCTATGGTACTTGTCTTTCTCTGACTGGCTTATTTCACTTAATATAATGTTCTCTAGGTCCATCCATACTTTCCTCTTTTATTTTTATTTTATTATTTACTCACTTTAAAAAAATTGAACTTATTGAGGTAACATCGATTCAAAAAACTATACCAGTTTTAAGTGTACAACTCAATAACAACACCATCTGCACACTGCATCATGCGCCCATCTCCCCAAGCAGTCTCTTTCCGTCCCCATTTCCCCAACCTCCACCTACTCCCTAATCCCCTTCCCCTCTATCACCACTCTGCTGTCTCTTTGTGTTATATCTATATATATAAAAGCCTAAGCGATCAAATGACCCGTTGGTATGACATGCACTGACTGCCAGGGGGCAAATGCTCAATGCAGGAGCTGCCCCCTGGTGGTCAGTGTGCTCCCATGGCAGGAGTGCCACTCAGCTGACCAATGGGTGCCAGACGCCAGGTTCGCAGCTGGCAAGAACATCTGTGATGGCACGAGCCTCTCCCACCTCTGTGGAAGCGCTATCGAGTGATGGAGGGCAAGGCGGGGCCAGGATAAGCAGGAGTGGCGTGGCACTTGACTTGGGCTCAGTCTCCTCCCTGGCTACCTGCTGCTTCATGCACTACTATATCCCTTGAGGAATGTCTGACTGCCAGTTTTGGCCCGATCTGTGTAGATCAGATTGGCATCCCTCGAGGGGTTCCAAATCATGAGAGGGTGCAGGCCAGGCTGAGGGACCCCACCAGTGCATGAATCTGTGTACCAGGCCTCTAGAGTGAGAGTGTGTGTGTGTGTGTGTGTGTGTGTGTGTGTACTAGAGGCCTGGTGTCCTGGGGGGGGGGGGGTATTCCTCAGCCTAGCCTGCAACCTCTCCAATCTGTGACCCTTCAGGGGATGTCCGACTGCCCGTTGAGACTGGACCTAAACCAGCAGTCAAACATCCCTCTCACAATCTAGGACTGCTGGTTCCCAACTGCTCGCCTTCCTGCCTTCCTGATTGCCTCTGACCACTTCTGCCTGCCAGCCTGATCACACCCTAAATACTTCTCTGCCAGCCTGACTGATGTTTAACTGTTCCCTTGCCAGGCCTCTAAATGCCCTCCCCTGCAGGCCTGGTCACCCTTAACTGCTCTCCTCTGCAGACCAAGTCACACCCGAATTCTCTCCCTTGCAGGCCTGGCCCCCCACCCCCCAGCCCAACTGCCCTTCCCTGCAGGCCCGGTCACCCCCAAATTCCCATCTCTGCAGGCCTGGTCACCTCTAACTGCCCTCCCTTGCAGGCTTGGTCCCTCTCAACTTCCTTCCCCTGCTGGCCATCTTGTGTCCACATGGGGGTAGGATCTTTGACCACATGAGGGCAGCCATCTTGTGTGTTGGAATGATAGTCAATTTGTTAATCAGCTTAACAATAACCCACAACCTTTGGACCAACTGATAGTCAATTTGCATATTATTCTTTTATTAGATAGGATAGAGACCTGGTGAATGGGTGGGAGCCAGCTGGTTTGCCTTGAAGGATGTCCCGGATCAGGGTTTCTTTGGGGCATAGGGCAGCCTGAGCGAGGAGCCTGTGGTGATTTTCAGGCTGGCCACGCTCCCTAGTGACCCAAGCAGAGGCCCTGGTATCTGGGATTTATTTATCTTCTATAATTTAAACTTTGTAGCCTTGAGTGGAGACCAAGGCAGAAACTTGGCTTCCTCCACTGCCAGGGGCAACCCTAGGCTCCTGCTCTCTGCAGCTCCATGGCTGCAGCCATTTCTGTTGGAATTTATCTTCTATAATTGAAACTTTGGACCCTTGAGTGAAGGCCTGGGGCCCCCAGGATGCGTGGAAAGCTTGGCTTCCTTCATCGCCAGGGTAACCCAAGCCTCCCTCCTGCTCACTCTGTGGCCATAGCCATCTTGGTTGGGGTTAATTTGCATACTAGTTCCTCATTAGCTAGTGGTCATGGCTTCTGGCAGTAGTGTAGTAATGATTAATTTGCATATATTTTTCTTAATCCCTCACCTTCTTTCATCCAGTCCTCCAACCCTACTCCTCTCTGACAACTGTCAGTCTATGTCTATGCCTGCTTCTATTTTGCTCATCAGTTTATTTTGTTCATTAGATTCCACAGACGAATGAGAACATGTGATACTTGTCTTTCTCATTTAGCATAATACTCTCCAGGTCCCTCCAATGCTATTTCAAAGGGTAAGAAATCCTTCTTTTATACAGCTGCATAGTATTCCGCTGTGTAAATGTAGCCGTTGTGTAAATGAGACACAGCTCTTTTATCCACTGATGTACTGATAGGCACTTGGGCTGTTTCCAGATCTTGGCATTGCAATGAACATAAGGGTGCATATATTTTTTGAATTAGAGTTTCAGATTTTTTAGGATATATCCCATGAGTAGGATCGCTGGGTCAACAGCAGTTCTATTTTTACTTTTTTTGAGGAAACTCAATGCTGTTTTCACTAGTCTGCATTCCCATCAACAGTGCACAAGGGTTCCCTTTTCTTCAAGTTCTCGTAGCACTTATTGATTTATTGATGAGAGCCATTCTGACAGATGTGAGATGGTATCTTGTGGTTTTCATTTGCATCTCTCTGATGATCAGTGACGATAAGTATTTTTTCATGTGTCTATTGGCCATGTGTATATACTCTTTGGAAAAGTGTCTATTCAGGTCCTTTGCCCATTTTTAATTGGGTTGTTTGTCTTCCTGGTGTTGAGTTGTAGAAGTTCTTTATATATTTTAGAAATTAACCCATTACTAAATGTATCACTGATAAATGTTCTCCCATGCTGTTAAGGTGCCTTCCATTTTGTTGATGGCTTCTTTTGCTGTGCAAAAGCCTTTTAGTTTGATGCAGTGCCATTTCCCCCCTCTTTGTTTCCCTTACCTGAGAGATGCACTGGCAAAAAAAATTTTGCTACAAGGGATGTCTGAGATTTTACTGCCAATGTTTTCTTCTAGGATTTTTATGGCTTTGCTTTTTAAGTCTTTTATCCATTTTAAGTTGATTCTTGTTAATGGTGTATATACCTGTCCAATTTTCCTAAAACCATTTATTGAAGTCTTTACTCCTTTGTGTGCTTTTTCCTCCTTTGTCAATATTAATTGACCATAAGGCGCGTGTTTTTTCTAGGCTGTCTACTCTGTTCTATGATGTATATGCTTGTTCTTCAAAGATGCTATGCTCCTTCACAACGCAAGCTTTCATATTAGATATTCATCTAGATAATTCCCACCACAGCATTATATCTTGGTGTACATATCTTTCCTTTAGAAAAGACCAAGTACCCTGATATATGTACCCTCCTAATATCCTATTTTCCCCCCCTAATAGTACTTATTAGAATTTTGATTAAATAACTATAATTATTTGTTTAAAACCTTCTTCCCTCCTAGAATATAAGTTTCAGGAGGGTAGAGACTGTGCTGAATGTGTCATAAATACATATATTGTTGTGAGAATGAATAAAATATTCCTAAGAGATAAGATCCTAAATACAAGTTGACTAGTAAACCACCTAAATTCTGAGGTAAAAGTTTATTATTTCAATTTAACTGCATACTAACTAACCCTATAAAATCTTTAGAAGTGATGTTGGCATAATTTTTTGTGAGGACAGTTTACTAAAATAAAAATGAGAACTTACAAGAATATCTTCTAATAACAACCTGCATAGTGGTCCTATAAAATGGATTGTATGTTTTTCCACTAAAAAATGATACCATAGGAAGAAGTTAGTGAAAAAAAAAAAAATTTCTTTGTTCCTCACTTCTCTTTTTGCCCCATCACTTAAAAAAAAAAAAAATCTTCCCTAGCCAGTTTGGCTCAGTGGATAGAGTGTCAGCTTGCAGACTGAAAAGTCCCCAGTTTGAATCTAGTCAAGGGCACCAGCTCACAACTATGGGCTCAATCCCCAGTAGAGGTCATGTAGGAGGCAGCCAATCAAAGATTCTCTCTTATCATTGGTTTCTATCTCTCTCCCTTCCTCTTTGAAATCAATGCAAAATATATATGTATTTTAAAAATCTATTCTCCCCTCTTGCTTTCTACATTTGAGAATGAAGTGGGAAGAACCACTATGAAGAGAGGTTAACTATAAAAGGTTGAATAGAAATCAGAATAAATGTTTTCATACACATTTTGATAAATCAATTCATTTTTCCTTAATCTTTTAAAAAATATATTTTATTGATTTTACACAGAGAGGAATTGAGAGGGACAGAGAGTTAGAAACATCAATGAGAGAGAATCATTGATCAGCTGCCTCTTGCACTCCCCTCCCCCACTAGGGATGTGCCCGCAACCAAGGTACATGCCCTTGACCGGAATCGAACCTGGGACCTTTCAGTCCGCAGGCGACACTCTATCCACTGAGCCAAAACGGTCCCGGCCATTTTTTCCTTAATCTTAAAAGCATATCTATGATCATGTTACTTTCAAGTTTAAAATTCTTTAAATGGTTTCCTTGTGCCTACAGGATAAAATTCCAATCTCATCCAAGTCTCTCTTGATGACTCTTGCCCATCTTTCCATTCTTACCTACTACTGATCACCATACTCAACAGTTAGCTGCGTCCAAGCATGTCAAAACTATTCACGAGCCGCAAAGCATGCTCTGAGCCTTTAGTCATACAATTTTCTGTCTTTTCCATCCTCAAATCTTACTAAACTCTAAAGCCCAGATAAAAACTCTGTAAATACATCCCTGATACCCTCAGTCAGAATTTCTTTCCAGTGACTACTAGAAAAGTTATGATATTCTGCCTTATGCTATGGCTGATTTTATAAAAGACTCTTCTAAACATCAGACAGAATTCATGGCTTAATCATATGTATAAAGCTTCATGTTGTTTCATATAGAATTTCTTCAAAATAAGTTTGATAAATTGCACATATCTCAAAGTCACAAAGAAATAAGGATTCAATAATGATTAATTTGAAAAAAATGCAATAACATAAGCTTTAAAAATTCTAAATTTTTAATATTATTATTATTATTAATAAATGCCTGTTATTTATATGCTAAATTCTAAGGAAACAAAGCATTGTTTCAAAATCAAATGCTGACATTACATATTTATCATCTGTAAGACAAGCTATTTGGGCCGAGACCGGTTTGGCTCAATGGATAGAGCGTCGGCTTGGGGACTGAAAGGTCCCAGGTTCGATTCCGGTCAAGGGCATATACCTTGGTTGCGGGTATATCCCCAGTAGGGGGTGTGCAAGAGGCAGCTGATCGATGACTCTCTCTCATCGATGTTTCTAACTCTCTCTCTCCCTTCCTCTCTGTACAAAAATCAATAAAATATATTAAAAAAAAAAAAAAAAAAGACAAGCTATTTGGGAAAATACTGTGGGTTAAGTAATAATACACACACACACAAAAACAAAACCAAAAACAAAAAAATCAGAAAAGTTGAAAGAGTTGTTCAAGTTCACTGTGATAATAAAAAAATCTTTTTATTGGTATTGCCTGCAGTAAATAGACGGCCAGTTGGGTTTAAAAATCCTTCCAGTTTTCTATTTTAATACTATTGTATTAAACAGAACTGAATTATAATGAAAATATTTTATAGCAATAAAGGTACCAAAGCATAGAGATTCTTTTCATTGATATTTTTCTTTTTAAAATATTAAAAGTTAAATATAAACCTTCACTTCTATCCTATATATTTAAAGAAAAGAGACAGCGCTGGCCAGTGTGGCTTAGTTGGTTGGCATTTGTTCTATGCATCAAGAAGTCACTGGTTCGATTCCCCAGTCAGGGCACATGTCTGGGTTGCGGGCTCGATACCAGTAAGGGGTATGTAGGAGGTAGCCAATCGGATATTACCCTCTCACATCGATGTTTCTCTTTCTCTCCCTTCCTCTCTCTCTAAAGTAAATAATAAAAACGTATTTAAAAAAAGAAGAAATGAATTGGGAAGAAACAGTATGAAGATGAGGTTAACTTTCAAAGAAAATTCTTACCTGTGGAAAATTCTTTACAATAGGCACTGGCTGAATTATGGGTGAAACATCAGACGTAGAAGTAATAATTGGTTCAACTGAAGTTGATAAAGTCAATTGTCTCATTCTCTCATCTTGAACATTTATGAATTCTATATTTTCACCCAGAGGAAGAGATGGCATCTGTGCAGTAGGTTTAGAAGGAACTGGTTCTTCCAGTGAGGGATAAGTAAAATCCACTAAAATTCCCAAAAGAATAATAATAAATTAAAAGGACAGCAAAGCCCATAAAAATTACTGACATAACTCATGCATGGTATATGTGATAGTTAAATGTAAACTAAATGAGGTAATAATAGTATTAAAAAAAATTAAAAATTAGGGGACTCTTTCTCCCCCTCCATGTGGGAATTTATGTTGTGAGATTATTTCCCCTTCCCCATGTGGGAGTCTGTACTTGTTCTTCAATAAGTTTCCACCTTTGCTAAAAATAAAAAAATAATAAAATTTAAAAATTAGCCCTGGCTTGATTGCACCAGGAGGCTGCCAGTTTGATTCCCCAAGGGCACATGCCCAGGTCGTGGGCTTGATCTCTGGGAGGGGTCGTACAAAAGGCAGCCTATCGATGTTACCCTCTCCCATCCATGTTTCTCTCTCTCTCCCTCTCCCTTCCTCTCTTTCTCCAAAAATCAACAAACTATTCTTAAAAAAATAAAAAAGAATTAAACATTAACTTCCAGGCTAAGAACATCTTTTATTTTTTATGCCTGAAAACAAGTTACTAGCTTAGGACAAATGCACATACAACCAATAACATTACCTTAAGAACATAAATAATTTAAAGTTTATTTTACTGAAGCAATTGTAATAAAAAATTTTCACATACATACATGAGATAGACACCTCTTCATTCTTGCCTCGTGGGGGTGGAGTGACTTTAGCATTTGTTGTGTACTGAGGATAACAAAGAAGCCAGTTTTCATAGCCTCCTTCTAAAACCAAAGGCTCATTGCGCAGGATAGTTTTAGTTTCCCACTATAAAATAAGGAAATAGTGTTTTTAATATGGCAGCTAAGAACACAACAAACCTGAATTTAAAAATTGGTCTCTTGAAGATTTATCTTCTAACCGATTAAAAAAAAAAAAGAAGAACAGGCCCTAGCTGCTTTGGCTCAGTGTATGGAGCGTCAACCTGAAGTCTGAAGGGTCCAGGTACAATTCTGGTCAAGGGCACATGCCTAAGTTGCAGGCTTGATCCCCAGTAGGGGATGTGCAGGAGGCAGCCAATCAATGATTCACTCTCATCATTGATGTTTCTATTTCTCTTTCCCTCTCCCTTTCTCTTTGAAATTAATAAAAATATATTTAAAAAAAGAGAGCAGAATTAAAAATTCAACATTAAATGAAACAAATGGATAGATCAGATTTTTAAAGCCAGACAAGTAATCAATGATCTTAGAAGAAAAATAAGTCTATATGTAATAAACCCATCTATAACCTCACTATCCAGAGATACCACTTTAATATCGCAGTTTATTCTTACTTTTCTACAAAGATACACACATTTTTAACATTATTTTTACAAAAACAATGAAACTTTTATGATGATGCTTTTATCTTATGTCTTTTATTAACAAAGAGCTGTATGTCATTTGTAATGACTAGCTAATATTCTATTTTATACGCACATGTAAACACACATACATATACACCAAAACTGAATTCATCATTTGAACACTTATTGTTATTTTCCCCAGTTAATTATAAACATTGAAGATCCTTCCTTATAAATGTATTCACCCAATCAACTGCATTAGGGAATAACCCGGAAGTGTAGGTGCGGAGCCAATGCACATGAACATCTTTATATTGCTATTCTTTGAAAGGATCCTCAAAAAAAATTTATTTTTGTAGAATAATATACCAGGAGAACTATTGATTTAAAGTTAGATGCTGCCAAATTGCCCTGCAAAAGGATAATACCAATTTTTATACTTACTAATAGTGTATGAGAATGCCCAATATAAGTCTTTACAATTTTTCCAAACTGGTGGGCATAAATGCTATTTTAATTAGCATCTATTAGTGAAACTGAACATCTTTTAATATGTTTATTAGTCATTTATATTATACTAGAGGCCCTGCGCATGAGATCGTGTGGGGAGGGTCCTTAGGTCCTAGCCTCCTGCAATCAGGGCCATCTTCTGCCCGTTCACCACTCCCCAGGCCAAACACTGCCTCCACTGCCAGGCTGTCAGGCAGTTGGGATCACCAGCTCATCCCCAGCTGCTGAGGGGCTCAGGCCTGCAGGAAAGCAGATGCTGGCAACTTCACCTCCATGCATGTCTCAGCCACTGTTGGAAAGCGCTGCCCGCTCAGGACCACTCAAGCCACCACTGCTTCCATTGCCACTGCTGCTGGGACTAGAGGCGCTGACAGAAGCTGCGGGGCGCGCCCACAAGCTATCCATCCTGGTGTGAGCGGCCCAGAGTGGGCAGTGCGTTCCATCAGTGGCCAGTCTGGAGCACAACTATGGAGGTGAATTCACCGCACCTGCTTTCCCACAGGCCTGAGCCCCTGAGCAGCTGGTTATCCCAACGGCCTAACAGCCAGCCCAGTTCTCCTGCCACCAACCCTGATTCCTACGTTCACCATCACTGATCCATCGGAGCCTGCAGGCTGGGGGGCAGGGACCAAGAGGTACTCAATGTGCCTCAGAATGACTGGCCGTTTGGTCGCAGACACTGGCTTTTTATACATATAGAGAAGACGACAATGGCTTTTTATATAAATAGAAGGTGATTTAATCTCATCTTTTTCTACAGAGTTTGCTATTTGGCCACTTTTATGTTATTATCACTTACATCTCCTTTCCTGTTTATGTCTGAGTCAACTACTTATTTTATCATTTCATCTTAATTTTCTTATTTGTAAAATCTCTGGATTTTAGACAGGTATCTTTCTGTTTGTCTTTTTACAGTGTTTTTTAACATCTAAGTTTTTATTTATGAAGTCAAGTCAATCTCTTTTTTCTTAGTGACACTTTCCTTTGTCTTTGTTTCATAATCTAATTCTTAAAACAAAAAATAACTTTTTTCAGATAAGTTCTATTTATGAAAATTCTAATATTCTAGTTTAGACTATTATTTGTTATTTCAAAATTAGTCTTTTATATCTAAATATCAAAAAAAATCTACAACCAAAGCACAATGGATCTTCTTGTCCTTAAGATAAACTAGTCAACATACCTTTTTAACAACCAGAGAAGGCTTGCAATTATAGTAAACTAATAAGGAAACTTGCTAACCTTGAAAAGTGCATCTTTCAGACTCCGTAGAGTTGTTCCAAGTTGTAAATCTTTTGTAGAACTAAACCAGTCAAGAAGTACCACATAATCCACATTCCCCCTCTTCTTCCATTTGTCTTTAGAGTCATCTGGGAGTTTTGCTTCAATCCATCTAGCAGTGATTCTGAAATGTATTAACATTTATATTGGGGCAAAAGTAGATGAAAGGTCCTAATATACTAACATTAGACACAGAGTTTTGTTCTCCAGTCTGTATCACACCATAGGAAACTTTAAGACAGATTTCTTTCTAAGGTCAGACTATGTGTTAAAGATACTAAATACCCTAAAATATTTAATAACATTGCAACTGCATACTATTGGAATATATTTTAGTATTAGAGACTAAAATTTTGACCCTTTACCAAAAAATGGGGGACCAAACTGAAAACAGGAACCCTTATGAGCATCTCTCAGCCAAGTGTAAACAACTGGAAGATCATGCAGGTAAAGTTATTTATATTTCAGTTCTGATACCTATAATTAATAGTTAACCAAATACCCAAATATTTATTTAACAAACACATACAGCATTTATTACATGCCAGATACTATTCCAAACGCTTTATTCTGAATCTCACAATAACACTCTAAAGTAGGCATTGTTATCCTCATTTTATAGATGGGGAAACTGAGGCACAAAAATTAATAACCTGCCCAAGGTTACATCTGTGCAGTGAAACCAGAATTCAAACTCAGGCTATTTGGTTCATGTCCAAGCTCTTTGCTGCTTTGTGGTATCACCTTATTAACTGAATATTACCAACTCTATGCTGTTCATTTTCTCTTTTGCTTAGGAATAGCTGAAGTTCTTCCCTAAGTCCTTACAATGGGCCTGCACATGGCCCCTCCCCCAAACCGTACTCTCTCAATGTCCTCATTATTAACTATGTACTTGCCCCCTTTACTCCACTCCAGGCACTGGCTTCCCTATAACTTCTAGTATGCTTCCCTCAGATAATGCATCAGTCATTCCCCTCATCCCCTCAAGATTTGCTCACTAATATCTTCTCAATGAAGCCATACTGGATTAACATTTTAATAATCACTACAACAAAAAGTTTGACACACCCATCTCCATAGCACTTATCAACAGCAGACATATATTTAAATTTTATTGACAGTCTCATCTACCTCATCTCCCAGTTAATCCTATATAATAAAAGCATAATATGCTAATTAGACTGGATGTCCTTCTGGATGACCTTCCAGACGAAGCTGGGGCTGTGAGGGCTGAGGTAGAGGAGGCCACTGCGGTGGCGGGGACCAAGCCCCTTGCACAAATTTCATGCACTGGGCCTCTAGTAAAATATAAGCTCCATGAAGCGAAGATTTGTTTGTTCAACTGACTTAGTCCCAGCACTGAGAACCATAGGAACCCAGCCCATAGCAAGTGCTCAGTAAACATCTGCTGAATAATCGAGTCAGTAAGACAGATTTGCTCCTCCAGGTAAGAAACTCCATATTATTTCTAACAAAGTACCTGGGCACTTATTTAAATGATGATACTGGCAAGCAAGACAGAACAGGTGAAACTTTATTCATAAGTAAAACCATATGATGTTAAGATCATTTTTTAAAAATCCTATATATAATAATGTTGATTATTTTACCTATTAGAATATAAAGGAAAAAAAAAAGAATACAAAATGCCTCATAATAATTCTCATCTGATATATTGAAATCAGAAGAATGCTTAGTCAACAAAGAATTAGAAAAATTGAAATGTGATATTCTTAAGGACTATTTTTAACTGCAGGGATATACTTGCCTAAATAATTTTTATCTACAAACTCAAGATTACTATTTCGTGGAAAACAATAGTATCAACCAGTATTATCTTCACATACTGCTACAACTTTGCTTTACCTTGTCTACTATTTAATACTTTAATTATTCATTAGTTTAATTGAAAGTGATCCTTTACTTAAATAAACATAACAGAAAAATGTATATTCTTACATATATGGAAAAATAGGATCATATCCAATAAAGGATAATACTAAAAATAAATAACCCTAAAATTAAAATAGATCATTAAACTATGTTATATTCACCCAATAGATCACCATTTAGCAATAAGAATAAATTACTATAACACATAATAATATATTTGACTCTCATAAACATTAGGTTGAGTACAAAAAGCCAGACATAAAAGTCTATTGATTGTAAGATTCCATTTATAAACTATAAAACAGATAAAAAGGAATCTATTCTAAATTGGTGGTTCCCTGGGCGGGTAGGAGTATCCGTAGTAACTGACAGGTAGCTTATGAGGACCTTTTAGAGTGATGATAATGTTTCTTGGTCCAGATACTAACTCAATGGTTGCATTCCATTTTTGACTATTCACTGGGTTAAATACTTATATAAGCATTCTTATTGTATAAATACTAACATTAAAAATAGAGCTATCACTGTCAGGTAGCTGTAGACACTGCTGCCTACAGAAAACTCTGAGGCCTGCTCTCTAGTAAGAAAGAGATTAGTAAATATTAAAAGGTAATGTTAGCACCAAATTGAGACTTCTTTTAACTAATTCAGGACTGAAACAGAAATAAAAAGGGAATCATTGTTATTTATTTATTTTTAAATTCATTGTTCTTTAATCTTCAACCTAAACTCACCTTGAGTTTCTCAGTAATCCAAATCCCACATTTTGGGAAACAATTAAACTCAATAAAAACCATAAACTTTTTGTTAGTACAGATTAGACTACCCAAAGAGTAGTTATAACTTTCCTTTTCTTTTCAAATCCTGTGAATATATTCACACCTACTTGATTAGACTAAGCATTTGAATCTTATATTTAAATAATGTAGTTACTAATCTGTTTAGTGGTTCACAGTAGAGGAATGATAGAGGGAATGAAAGAGGCCACCTTGTTTTGTAAAAAAGTAAGTCATCTAGCTACACTAGTTAATTTAAAATTTGAATAAATAAATAGCTAGATAGATTGATACACAGATTAGATAAATAACATATTTACAATGTATTCTTCAGGTAAAACATTTAGCATACATCTGCAGTACACCAAATATCATGCAAATTTTATTAATTACCTAATTTAAAAAATATCTTCTTAATGTTGTTAGTCCTAGAATGGACCTACTCCAATCCCATAAACTAAGACCCAGAGAGGTTACATAATTTATATCATATTCAAAATATTGAAAATAACCTTGGATCTGAAGTTTTAATTCTGTTACTGATGAGATAGTTTCTAATATACAACATATCTATGCATGGTAACTTTTAATTTTATAGGTTAAAAGTTTTATCAAAAAAAGAAAGAAAATACATTTTTAAGTTAAGTCCTTACAAATGAAAGGCACTATGCTAAGTGTGTGTGTATAAAATTTCTCAAAATCTCTGAGATAAATACTTTCATTATTCCCTTTTTATAGATGGAAACATGGGCTTAAGAGGTTAAATCACTAGCTAGAAGTAAGGTAGCTAAGAAAAGACATTATAATCTCACCATAGTCTGCTTTTAAAGTCTTTACTCTCTCTCAGTGGTTTATATACTGTCTTCTTAAAAAAAGTATTTGTGTGCTCTTTTACCAGATAATAGTATGGGAAATTTCCAATTAAAAACAATTCAATTAGTTCACAATTTTAGTCTATTTGATGCATATGCTTCAAAAGCTCATACATAAAATACAGCACAAGAAGTTAGTCAACGAACACTTGGGGGGAGAGTACATAAGACTGGATTCATTTCTCTTCTAAGACTCCAAATGCCACAGACAGGAGAGAGCACCCAGACTAGGTAAGGTGTGCCAATACGAGCAAAAAATGAAAAGGTCAATGGGAAAAGAAAACACTATTATATCACATTTAAATAGGATGCTAATAATTAACATTTACTACTCTCCATAGTTTACCATTCTATCTAAACACACAATGACCCACCCTGGATTGATGGCTTCTTCAGGAACACTTAGAGAATCTAAAACATGGGAATCCTGATAATCCTGCAATTTTCGAGCATCCATTATAATCAAGCTGAAGTTTTCATCCATCATCATTGTGTATAGTTCCTTTGCTGTGATTGATCCTAGGAATCAAGAGAGGTAATATTAGTGACAAGTAACACCCAGTTCTGTGTGTTATCTTTCACTAAATATGGGGCAAACACAGCTTTTTCTAGAAAAATAAAGTGTACTGGGTGTTAAATACTTGCTTTTCCATCACACTATTTATTACCTTTTAAACTAATATTAAATATAACGAGCATTTTTTAAATTTAATAAATCTTTATTGCTCAGATTATTACAATTTTTTCTCCTTTTTCCCCCCTCATAGTTCCCTTCCACCTGGTTCCCACCCCACCCTCTGCCCTTACCTCCTCCCACCCCCATTGTCCTCACCCATAGGTGTACGTTTTTAGTCCAATCTCTTCCTGAACACACCCCTTTTCCTCTGATAATTATCAATCATAACATGCATTTTTTACATTTACCAAACACTAACTCAATGCTCTGTTTATAAAGACTTAATAAAATTTGCTGTTGAGTTTACAATTATTTCTGGTGTTGGCTATGTTACTGGTTTAAAATAAAGGAAATTAATAAATGTATCTCACAAAAATATTATATATTTTAAAATAAGCCATGTAAAAAAAATGTCAATCAGAAGAAACTTCTATGGCTCAAAAATTCTTAAAACGGTCTAAGTTCTTTAATGGGGCTTTATGAGAGCTATTTTAGATTTTCAAGTATTCCCTGAGCAACAAGCCAAAAGCCAGTTATTTGTGTTCCATGAGAGGGCTTGGCAAACCATGGCCACCTGTTTTTCCTGGAACACAGCTATACTCATTTGCTTACATATTGACTATGGCTGCTTTCACACTACAATAGCAAAGACCACATGGCCACCCCAAGCCTAAAGTATTTACTATCCAACCCTTTAACATTTAGTCAAAATAAATATTCCCTATGTTGCTATTTTCCTCTTCCAGCTTCTACCACCTGAAGTAAAAGATCAAAAAGCACTACAAGGGAGCTTAATATGGGAAGAACTATTTCTTTGTTAGTGAGCTGTGAGAAGAATGTAGTCACATTATCTCCTAAGCTAAAATATCTAGCTACTGCCCTGGCTGGTGTGGCTCAGTTGGTTGGACTGTTGTTCCATACACCCAAAGGTGATGGGTTTGATTCCTGGACACAGCACATACCCATGTTGCCAGTTTGATCCCTGGGAGGGGTGCATATGGAGGCAACCAATCTATGTTTCTCACATGAATGTTTCTCTTTCTCTCATACTATCTCTAAAACAAAACAAAAAAAACCCATATCCTCAGGTGAGGGAAAAAAACTCCAGCTGCTAATAACCATCCTACTTCCCTTTCTAACCATCAAGATTATTTTGACAACAAAAGAATCTAAACAGGTTGAGACCAAACCACTGAGAAGGGTGATATCAAAGCAGGATGAGGTATAAAGGAACAGATAAAACAAATCTCAAAATGAAAAAAAAAAAAAAAAAAATCTCAGAATGAATTGATAACAACTTCTAGGAATGTACTTTACTGGGTTTAATTTTTATTGTTGTATGACAATATTTTAAGTAAATAATTTATTTTAGTGTTACACAATATTTAAGTTAAACCTTTTCTGAGACAAAAACTTAGGGCAACTAACTAAGTCTTATTATTTAGGTCACATATTTGTCACTAGAGCAGTGGTCGCCAACCTTTCGGACCTCGTGAACCACTAGTGGTCCAAGGACCACCGGCTGGCGACTGCCGCACTACAGCATCCACACCACCTGAGGATAATACCAAAATTACTTGTTTAGATTTTTTAAGGGAGTAAAGAAGATTTTTAAATAATTAAGTCTTCAACTGAAAGTTATAAATAGTATTACCTAATACTTATAATATATAAAGTTTATTGTGCATTCTACGAGTTTCACATATATTAACTCATTCAATCCTCATCAATAACATTATGAAATAGGTACTATTATTACCCCTCTTTGGAAAAGGGAAATTAAGCCCGAGTCCATTTGGCTAAGTGTATTGAGCGTCGTGCCATGGACTGAAGGGTCTTGGATTCAATCCTGGTCAAGGGCATGTATCTTGCTCGGTTGCAGGTTGATCCCCAGCTTTGGTCGGGCACGTGCAGGAGGCAACCAATCAATGTGTCTCTCTCACATCAATGTTTCTCTTTCTCTGCCCCTCTCCTGCACTCTCTCTTAAAAAATCAATGGAAAAATATCCTTAGGAGAGTATTAACAAAAAAATAAAAATAAATAAAGACAATTATTTATTTAAAATGAAAATTTTTTTAAAAAAAAAGGGAAATTAAGTTAAAGAGATTAAACAACATGGAAATTCAGAGGAGCCAATGTTTAAACCCAGGCAGACTCACTTCTGAGAACCCATGTTCTTAACTACTATGTTAAACTACCTTGAAAAGAAAACAGTGACAACTACAAACTGTGGTTTTGATGTTTTCAATTGCACCCTATATAATAAAAGCCTAATGTCTGGTCATCCATTCAACCAATCAAAACGTAATAGGTTAATGATATGCTAAGGCTGCTCAACCACTCCCTATGACATGCAACTGACCACCAGGGGGCAGATGCTCCAATTCAGTTGCTGTTGGAGTCCAGCCGATTGGGAATGAGCCAGATGGGCCAGTCATGCCTTGGAACCCTCATGTGGTCTCTCCTGGCTGGCCAACTTCCTGTGTTCCTCCCTAACCCTGATAGTGCACTGGTGGGGTCCTTCAGCCTTGCCTGTGCCCTCTCACAATCTGGGACACCTCAGGAGAAGTTGGAGAGCTGGTTTTGGCCCAATCCTGCAGGACAGGCATGAATTCATGCACCAGGTAATATCATAAATATAACCCACGATATATAAATTCAGAATAGAATACATTTGCAGTGTATTTGTACAGGCTAGCTTATATACAGACTAGAGGCCCAATGCACAAAATTCGTGCGGGTGGGGAAGGGGGGGGTTTGTCCCTCAGCCCAACCCATGCCCTTTCGCAGTCCAGAAGTGTGGGAACCCCTTTTACATCCCACGTGGTTTAGGGTTCGGGTTCTGGAAAAGGCCGCGCACAAATGAAAAAAGACTAGAAAAAATTTAATTTGGGAAATGTGGAGCCAGGCAGGAGCCCACATCTAGTGGAAGGACTATCACTAGGATGTGGCCTTGCTATCACTTTTACTGAGACTATGGAATACACCCATAACCCTTAGGCAGGTAGTAGGCAGATTAACATATCAGTAAGGATTTACATGATTACTTGATGGGGAAGTTACCTCAGTTACCACTGTCTCAATTAGATTGGGCTTTGACCTTTCAGAGCTTCAAGGTTGACCAGCCTTCTACATCTTTCTATTAGTGAGACAATGCATGGAAGCCCTCGGAGAATGCTCTGCTGCTCCCGCCTCCACTGCTGCGCTGCCTCCACTGCTGTGGTTCGCCAGCCATGAGCCTGGTTTCTGGCTGAGCAGCACTCCCCCTCTGGGAGAGCATTGACCACCAGGGGGCAGCTCCTGCATTAAGCATATGCCCCCTGGTGGTCAGTGTGCATCATAGCAACTGGTTGTTCTGTTGTTCAGTTCATTTGCATATTAGCCTTTCATTATATAGGATGAGACAATATTAGAATCTCACTGTGTAAAATCTGAAGCTAACACTTACCTTTTTCTGCGGTCTCATTTTTTCCACCATTTATCTATATAATAGAAAAAAAAGTTTCAAATTTAATAATAGAAACAAAATGTTCATAGAACCAAAAATGTTAATATCAACTTTATAAATTTTTTTTTTATTGATTTTATACAGAGAGGAAGGGAGAGAGATAGAGAGTTAGAAACATCGATGAGAGAGAGTCATCGATCAGCTGCCTCTTGCACACCCCCTACTGGGGATATGCCCGCAACCAAGGTACATGCCCTTGACCGGAATCGAACCCGGGACCCCTCAGTCCCCAAGCCGACGCTCTATCCATTGAGCCAAACCGGTCCCGGTTAATATCAACTTTAATATCTCATTGAAACTGAATGCCTAGGAAATAAAGGGCTCAGAGTACAGGCATTTTATAAAAATGTGAATGAACAGCAATGGCATTACCAGGTTACTATGGTGGTAGTTAACAGCTAAAATAACTAGCAGCATATCTGAATCATATGACATTTCTTTAAAATTTTCTTTAGTTGTTAGCTAAATATATTTTAAAAGCACAGACTGTTACAGAAATTTATAATTTAATTTAATGAGAATATTTCTTACAATGAAACAAAAATTGGGCTATTACCTGGCATGGCATATTCAAAATGAAGAAAGGAAAAACCTAGAAATACTCTATCCAGCAAGATAATCATTCAGAATTGAAGAGATAGTTTTTGAGAGAAGCAAAAATTAAAGGAGCACAATATCATTAAAACAGCAATACAAGAAATGTCAAAGAGACTTCTTTAAGTAAAAAGAAACAGCGAATAGTAAAAATTTTAAAATATTGGGACGAGCCCTAGCTGGTTTGCCTCAGCAGATAGAGTGTCGGCCTGCCAACTGAAAGGTCCTGGGTTCAAGGGCACATGCCCAGGATGTGGACTCTACTCCTAGAAGGGGGTGTGCAGGAGGCATCGGATCAATAATTCTCTTATCATTGATGTTTCTCTCCCTTCCTCTCCTTTCCTTTATGAAATCAATAAAAATATATTAAAAAATAAAATACGGGGGGAAAAACCCACTAATACAGGCAAACATTTAGTAAAAGTAGGCATCAACCATGGATAAAACTAGTAAGAAGGTTAAAAGACAAAGTAAGATCATGTGTAACTATAGTAATTAATGGATACACTCACAGACAAACTTACACAAAAGGTGTAAAATATGTCAAAAACATAAACATTGGGGACTAGTAAAAATGTAGTATCTGACTCCACTCATATGAGGTACCTAGAGTAGTCAAATGCATAGACAGAAAACAGTGGTGGGTGTCAGGAGCTGGGGGGAAGGACGTTTGGGGAGTTATTGTATAAAGCAGCAGGTGGTCCGTAGACTACTGGTGGTCCATGAGGTCCAAAGGTTGGGGACCACTGGTTTAAAGGATACAGAGTTTCTGTTTAGCAAGATAAAAGGAGTTCTGGAGATGAACAGTGGATGGCTGCACAACAATGTGAATGTTATCAATACCACTGACCTGGATAAGGTATTAAATATTATGGTATGTGTATTTTACAATAATAAAATTTTTTTTAAATGTAGGATCCCTATTTCCCTGTCTCTGGGAGGGTAGGAGCCTAACTTCCATAACTGACAATTAGTAAACACAGATGCCCCTCACAATGACCAATCTTCTACACTAACATACTCTAATACTTTTCCATGAGCTAATCAGCATTTAAAACTCTGCCTAGCCCTAGATGGTTTGGCTCAGTTGATAGAGCCTCAGCCACGAACTGAAGGGTCTCAGGTTCAATTCCGGTCAAGGGTACATGCCCAGGTTGAAGGCTCGAACCCCAGTAGGGGCATGCAGGAGGCAGCCAATCAATGATTCTCTCTCATCATTAATGTTTCTATCTCTTTCCCCCCCCTTCTCTGAAATATATACGTAAAAATATATTTTTTAAAAATATAAAAATCTGATCAATATAATTTAAACTAAAATAAAATGAATAAAAATCTGCCTACATTTTGTTTAAGCATCATTGAGTTCAATCTCCCATATTACAATAGTCTTGAATAGTCATTAACATTTTTAAAAAATGGAGCTTTTAAAATGCAATTGTAAGCTGAAACCGGTTTGGTTCAGTGGATAGAGCGTCGGCCTGTGGACTGAAAGGTCCCAAGTTCGATTCTGGTCAAGGGCATGTACCTTAGTTGCGGGCACATCCCTGGTAGGGAGTGTGCAGGAGGCATCTGGTCGATGTTTCTCTCTCATCGATGTTTCTAGCTCTCTATCCTTCTCCCTTCCTCTCTGTAGAAAATCATTAAAATATATTAAAAAATAAAATAAAAAAATAATCAAAAAAAATAAAATGCAATTGTAAGCGATCATCAACTTAAAATAGACTGCAATAAACACAGCTTGTTATATATGAATCTCATAGTAACCACAAACCAAAAACCTGTAAGAAAACCAATTGAAGCTAGAATATTTTATTCAGTTTCTAATAAAAACACATTAAATTTTACCCTGGCTGCCCAAATGAACATTGTAGTGATATTTCAACTTTCTTAAACAGATCATCTGAGAAGAGTCTTTTTATCTCACAGAATAAATTTAAAATACCTTTTGGGTTTTGTCTTTGAAATCCAATACATTTTCCAAAGAGTTTTTAGCTGATGTGTTACCATCCTCTCTTCCTGCTTCCTGTCTTCTCTGTTTCTGCAGTTGCTCTTCCTCCTGTCTGTCCTTTTCTTCGAGTTTTTTCCGAACTTCGGCTTCTTCGTATCTAGTTGAAAAGAGAAGTCAAGATGTCTTGCAATGATCATAAAAAGTAAGGGAGTTCCAGGTACATGATACTAGTACCCTGCTTTGGATACATATTTTCTCCCTCCAACTGATGCCATTGGTCATTATAAGCCACAACTCGCAAATGTGCCCTTTTTAGATTTACATCAATTGCCCAAAAATTTTGAAAAGAAACTCTAGACTCTCAAGTTAAAGTTGCTTAATGCTCCTGTTGCTCTTTCCCTCCCATTAATTTCAATCTCTTAATTACTCAAATCTGCTACAATTTCCTTTTGAAAGGATTTATAATCCTAAAATTAACTATAAACCTCACTCACTTATAAAGTGATTAAAAATACTAATAAGTACAGACAACAAGTAAATGAAAGGACCTAAACGCCCCCCTCCTAAAAAAGAGGAAATAAATATGATTATTATAATAGTATGATTATAGAGAAAAATAGGCAAACCCAAGGGAAAAAATAGTTAATAATGGTTAATCCAAAGATTAGGAGAAATGCTATTCTACTTATTTGGTTGGCTAAAGAAAGAGAATAGTGATTCTTAATGATATCAACCACCTTAACATATTCCAGACCCAAGATGAGTAATTCTAGAAAGGATGAAGGGAATATATCAGTTTAAAAAGATAATTTTAAGTCAAGGCTATGATGTATATAACTATAATAGTTAACTGAGCCAGGTACGAAAAGCATTAAAGAAAAAATATTGAACTAAAAAGTTCCCTTTTTATTTTGTTACTTAAGGAATGACTAAAAATTGAAACATACTATTTTTAATTTCTATTTATAAGTCTGGTAAACCAGTCATGGAAAATACTAGAATTAGATTAAAAAAAAACAACACTTATATAACTTCTGAAACCAGGCAGATCAAACTACAGTAAATACTTTATTCTCATCAGACCAGCATCTAATAGCACAGCACAAGATGGAGCAAAGAAATATTTTTCTGAAGAATCATGTTCGAAACTTGAGAATAAAATGAGACCTAAGCTCTAAACTACTATCCTAATGCTTACCTTAATAAACTATCATTCTAAGCATTTAAAAAACTTCAGTAAAGAAAATTAATGGTAACACATAAACATAATGTAAGTGATATAGAAATTTTTTTTTTAATTTTTGTGTTCTATTAACACAGAATTTATTTTTAGGAATTAGATTTTAAAATAATAATGTCTATACCTGAGTTTAAGGCTTTCAGAGAGTCTTTCAGCTTCTTCAATAGCTTTTTTGATGTTTCCAAGTCCAAGCATTGAATGAACATAGTCCTAAAATTATAGAAAACCATCCTCTACTTAGCATTAGGTACATACACAGTTGTAATACTAAAGACATTTAAATCACAGTACTTAAATAGGAAAGTTTACATTAAGACATTATGACTGATATAATTTTTTAAACTTTTTTAAAAAATATATTTTATTGATTTTTTACAGAGAGGAAGGGAGAGAGACAGAGAGTTAGAAACGTCGATGAGAGAGAAACATCGACCAGCTGCCTCTTGCACACTCCCTACTGGGGATGTGCCCACAACCAACGTACATGCCCTTGACCGGAATCAAACCCTAGGACCTTTCAGTCCGCAGGCCGATGCTCTATCCACTGAGCCAAACCGGTTTCGGCTTTTTTTTTTTAACTTCTAACCTACATGAATGCACAACTTATTCTTAAAATATTGCAAAAGCATCTTATCATAGCATTAGTATGAAAAAAAAAAAATTCGAGTAGGTAACAGTTTTTACTTATTTGTAAGGTATCTTTTAAGAAGTACTATTTTTTATTTATAAATAAATAGCAAAAAAAACCCAAAAAACAAAAACCAACCAAACACATACAAAGCTTTCAAGGGCATAATATATCTTGCCATTATAAGGAGATTTTCTAGTTTTATTTTTCTCTAGTCTCAGATGCAGTAAAATAAACTGTGTGTCAATCTACAGCATGGGATTAGCCCTTTTGTTTTAAATTGAGATGTTTTGCTTACATCTTTCTTTAAAAAAAAAAAAAAAAAAAATATATATATATATATATATATATATAATTGATTTTTACAGAAAGAAAGGGAGAGGGATAGTTAAAAGATCAATGAGAGAGAAACATGGATCAGTTGCCTCCTGCACACCCGCTACTGGGGATGTACCCGCAACCAAGGTACATGCCCTTGAGTGGAATTGAACCTGGAACCACCCTCAGTCCAAAGGCCAATGCTCTACCCACTGTGCCAAACCAGCCAGAGCGCTTCCATCTTTCTTTATTATAGCTACCTGCCTTGCAATACTTTAGACATAAAACAAGTGTTATATTTAAGGAAACATTGAATAACTAAAAGTCAAATGACAGAAAATATGCCATCAATAATAAAATCTACCTTATAAAAAACACACCAAAATTGTCCTGGCCAGTACTACTCAAAGGTTAGAGGTTGGCCTGTGCATCGAGAGATCTTAGGTTCAAAAACCTAGTCAAGGGCATGTACCTGGGTGCCCAGTTTGCTTCCCGTCCCCCAGTTAGGGTGCATGTGGGAGGCAACCAGTCAATGTATCCCTCTCATAACCCTCCCTCTCTTGCGCGCTCTCTCTCTCTCTCTCTCTCTCTCTCTCTCTCTCTCTCTCTCTCTCTCTCTCCTACTCCCTTATACTCTCTGAAAAGCAATGGAAAAAATAACTTTCAGGTGAGGATTAACAAAAAACCCCACAAAAACACAAAATAGCCATGGCCTGTGTACCTCAGTTGGAGCATCGACTCATCTGTCAAAAGGTGGCAGGTTTGATTACTGGTCAGGGCAGATAACCAGGTTGTGGGCTCAATCCCAGGCCAGAGGAAACCTATCAGCGTTTTTCTCTCTCTCACATCAATGTTTCTCTTTCTCTCCCCCTCTTCCTCCCTCTAACACACACACACACACACACACACACACACACACACAGGCACACAATTTACTAATAGGCATAATGAAGTTGTTTTTAAAAAATCACTTCACTAAGAGGTCACTCATTAGATCCTACAATCAGAGATATTTTCAAATCAAAGTTAGTATGACATGACAGTAGTTCAGTTAGAGTAGGCTAATTATTGGATCTAATTTGCCACAACTTGTCAATATGACTACAAATAGAGCCTACTAGTACAATTCATCACAAAGAATCTAGTAATCGTATTAAAAAAATAAATAAATAAAAAAAAAGGCCAGAAGGTCAAAAATATCCATCTCTGGCTCATGGAGAGACCCTCAATAAGAGCTTTGGGTGGAATAAGTCTGTTGGTAACAGCTATCATATGTCTATCTATCTAGCCTTAAAGTATTAATAGCTCAGGTTTTGGTTGAATTTATTCTTCTAGTTTAAAGAATAAATAAAGAGGACCATTCACTATGTAATTTCAATAAAAGTATAGTTTGTTCAATACTCTATCACTTGAACATTATAGTGGAAACTGTAGTTACTTTAGTTATCACAATGTCCTACAGCTGATACAATATTCACCCCCTTCTCCCTTGAGGATGTGTAATTAATTTTAGAGAGAAAGGAACAGAAAGAGAGAGAAACAACTATGTGAGAGAGAAACACAGATCAGCTGCCTCCAGTACTCGCTCCACCCAGGGATGAACCCACAACCTAGGTTTGTGCCCTGACTGGTAATTGAACCCACAACTTTTTGGTGTATATGACAACACTGCAACCAACTGAGCAACACAGCTAGGGCTGATACAATGCTTTTAAATATATATTGATTTCAGAGAGGAAGGGAGAAGGAGACAGAGATAAAAACATCAATGATGAGAATCATTGATCAGCTGCCTCCTGCATGCCCCCACTGGGGATCAAACACACAACCTGGGCATGTGCCCTTGACCAGAATCAAACTCAGGACCTTTCAGTCCAAAGGCTGACTGACACTCTATCCACTGAGCCAAACCAGGTAAGGCACAATACTTTTCTAGCAGAAAATAAAATATAATCATTACGATAATATTTCTCCAATAAAAATAAAATACAAAGTAAAACCAAAAAATACTATGACTTGTTTTATTAATTTTTAAAATAGAAACTCATTAAGAAGCCAGTCTGTAAGCTCAATTTAACTCGGTTTAAATGCTGAAAAAATTGTTTGTGATTGGCTATGACTATTACGAACTCTCAAAAGACACTCCCTTAATATCAGTGAGGTTTCTTTTCAATAATTCTCTCTGTGTACTGTTAATGGATCACAGTTGAAATAAGCATAAATATTTTCAAATTTTCAACAGTACAGACACTTGGCAGAATTTTAATAACAACATCCAATTCTTATACAACTAAAAACATTTGCTTTTTAGGTTTACCAAGTAGAACTTTCCTATTCTTGAACATAGATTCAAGCAACTCCCATGATTTCACAAATAAAAAAGTTTACCAGTAATATTCAGGATTATAAATAATAAATATTTCTTCTAATTAATTTCCTTTCAATGTGCACAAATCCATGCACCAGGACACTAGTAAATGCAATGTGTCCTCTACTAGTAAGTTTGCTAAATTATCAAGTTTTTATCTAAAATCTTAACTATTCCCTAAAATAAAATAAAAGTGAAAGACAAAGTTTCTGAAGACTGATGACATTACATTCTGTCCCTACTGGCTTTAAAAGGTAAAAACAAAAATTTAGTCAGTGCCCTGGCCAGTGTGGATTGGTTGTTTAGAGTGTGGTCCCATGCATGGGAAGGCTATGGGTTCAATTACTGGATCCCAAGTCAGGTCTCTCCCTTCATCCCTCGCTAAAATCAAATGTTTAAAAAATTTACTTAGTAAATTTAACATTTCACATATTGAAGTATACTGGAGAGGTTGGGCTAAATAAAATAAAACACAACCAGTTCTGAGACAGAAGAAGATGTGGTACTTTGGAAAGAGCAAATAAAAATAATCCTTATATTGAAAACCAGAAATTGAACAACTGCAACATATGAAGTAACAGGAGCTTTCTAACCTAAACAACTCCTGCCACTTTCAACTATATACTCCCTTTGGAAAAGGAATAAATAGTCTGTGGAAATGGAAAAAAACCTCTTACCGATTATAATTTACTCCCAACCTTCTCAGGTTTAAAAAAAGAAAAAGAAAAAGGTAGCTACAAAAACACTCCTAATCTTGTCAAAGAAAAAAGGTAGTTACTAATTTAGAAAAATAAAGCAAAAAATTAAAAGGATATTAAAAAATTGGACCTACGATAATAGACAAAATAGCAAATACCAAAACTATCGGTTACCCAAATCTGCAGATTTTTCAAAAATAATTACTTTAGCGGACACTATTACACTTCTTTTTAAGCAATTCCATTTTAAGAGATACTGTGATAATCATCGAAGAGCATGCAAACACTTGCTTAAATTTGGGCAGGCTTCTGTCCCCATCTGCAGATAAGTATGCCCACGAATGTTCCAAGAACAGAACCAATCCAGCAATATGTGGAGAATGAACCTTAAATGCAAGGGGCCACCATCCCAAAGCTAGAGCTAAAATCTCATAACTATTATTAGTATAACCTTACTGGTAAGAAATACGAGCAATGATTTAACACCACTAAATAAAACAATGAGGCTATCCCTTAACCCAGCGGTAGCCAACCTTTCAGATCTCACAGACCACCTGTTAGCCACTGCTGCCTTAACCAACAATCAAAAGAAAACATATGAATTACACTATTGTAATTCATATAAGGCTACTGAAAGAGTGAGAAAATTTTTTAACTTCTAAAAAAAAAAAAAGAAAAAATTTTAACTTCTATAATTTTAACAAGGCAAAGGAAATTCCACCACCAGTGAACAAAATAAAAAATCTCAATATTAAGAATAGCTTCTCTGCCCTGGCCAGTGTTACTAAATGTTAGTGTCAACCTGCACACTAAAGGGTCTCAGGGCTCCATTCCTGTCAAGTGCCAATACCTTGGTTTTGAGTTCACTCCCTGCCCCCAGTTGGGACACACGCTGGATGCAACCAGTAGATGTATCTCTCATATCCATGTTTCTCTCTCTCTCCTCCCTCCCTCCCTTTGTACTCTCTCTGAAAAAGCAATGGGAAAAAATATACTCAGGTGAGAATTAACAATTTTTTTTTTTTTTAAGGAATGGCTTCTCCACCACATAAGATCTATAGGCAGTATTTTGCTACTATTTATTGTCTGGTAGCAAGGCGGAACCACCAACAGAAAACTTTTCTCATTTCTTTTTCTTTTAAAAAAATATATTTTATTGACTTTTTACAGAGAGGAAGGGAGAGAGAGAGAGAGAGCTAGAAATGTCGATGAGAGAGAAACATCAATCAGCTGCCTCTTGCACACCCCCTACCGTGGATGTGCCCACAACCAATGTACATGCCCTTGACCGGAATCGAACCCGGGACCTTTCAGTCCGCAGACCAACGCTCTACCGCTGAGCCAAACCGGTTCGGTTCTTCCCATTTCTTTAACCTAGTCCTCATGATCTTTAGCCTGCTGCTGGTGCAGCTGAAATGCAACCATTTTCCTTAGCCACACTTATCTACTCATCAGTTCTTTTTCATTTACACTTCCCCTTCTTCCTCTCCCTCCCTGCCCATGGCTTCAGAAAAGTGGAAGAAAGGCACCTGCTCAAAGGATTAAAAGCAAAATAATAATATACAAAAATGGAAACAATCAGCATTAATTTTTCAAACAGATCTTTAATATGGCGACAATGTTATATATTAAAAACGGTCACATTAAAACAAATGACGAAACCTTGAATCTTGAGAAAGTACAATCTCAAGTCATATTGTTCTTATTTAATGCATGAGTAAACAGAGTATTCTATTTGAACTGGCAATGATGTATCATAATAGAAAACTGACTATGTTTCTGTATGTTGCTATAAATTTGTACTAGTCCAAGGCAAATTAAGAGTGCATATAGAGCACCGGCTGGTGTGGCTCAGTGGTTGAGCATCAATCCATGAACCAAGAGGTCAGGGCACATGTCCAAGTTGCAGGCTTGATAGCCAGTAGGGGGTGTGAAGGAGGCATCAGATCGATGATGTTTCTCTCTCATCAATGTTTCTATTTATCCCTCTCCCTCTCTAAAAATCAATAAAAACATATTTAAAAAAATATATGTGTGTGTATCTACATGTTTGCAAATAAAATAAATTCTTTAGTTTGTTTTTCTACCTTCATAAGAGTTTGAACTTGATGCCACATAATGTTATCTACTTTCCAATATAGTTAAAACTTTTAGAGAAGGTAAGTCCATTGTGCAAAAATAACTTAGCAAGTAAAAATGTAGAAACAAAAGGTACCTGCTGTTGCTTGAAATCAGGCCTGTTTTTGATAAGATTATAAACAGTCACAAATTTCATGTACAGTACGTAGGCCTTTTCCTCATCACGATCTAACCTGCTTTCTTCTGCTGTCTTGAAGAGCTTCTGGGCACTCTGTACATAACTTAAAATTAGAGAAAAAAATAAAATTCTTGACATCTGGTGGGGAAATCATGGGTAAAGCCCACAAAGAACCTTGATAAAATATATTTCATTATTTATTTCAGTTAGATGCAAGTTTGGATGAAATCTGAAAATTCCCCTTATGCTACAAGTAAATACTTCTGTTTCATAAGAATTGCTTATATACCACAAACTCTTCAAAAAGATTTCTGAGTCTAATTTTAAAAGATTTGCTACAACAGATAATCCTGAGACAAGTGGTCCTCAGGCAACCACATAATAGCCATACTCTATAATTAAAGAACATACCATTTGTATTGAATTAGGGGAGTTAAAATCTTTATTATTTTGACTAGTAGCCCGGTGCACAAAATTCATGCTGGGGGGTGTCGCTCAGCCCAGCCTGCACCCTCTCCAATCTGAGACATCCCTCTCGCAATCTGGGACTGCTGGCTCCTAACCACTCACCTGACTGCTTGCCTGATTGCCCGTAACCACTCTGCCTGCTGGCCTGCTCACCCCCAACTGCCCCTGACAGCCTGCTCACTCCAAATTGCCCTCCCCGCCAGCCTGCTCACCCCCAACTGCCCTCTCCCCCCGCCGGCCCGATCACCCCAACAGCCCTCCCTCGTTGGCCTGATCACTCACAACTGCCGTCCCATCCTGGCCTGATCATCCACAACTGCTCTCCCCTCTTGGCCCCTAACCACCTCTGGGTAAGGGGCTAAGGGCCCTTTTCAGGCTGGCCACACCTTCAGGATGAGGGTCCTACCGCATGAGGGGCTGATGACTGTTTGCAGGGTGGCCAGGCCCTCCAGTGGGGATTCTCACCCCGATGGTGGCATGGCCAGCCTGGATGTTCCAGCTGAGGGCCGTTTGCAGGCCCCTCCCTCAACGGCTGGCCTGGGCGACCCAAACCTCCTGCCCACTCCGGCTGGCTCCATGGCCGCCACCCATAGGCCCCCTCCTTTGGCGGCCGGCCCAGGCAGGTGGGAAGCTTGACTTTCTCCATTGCCAGGAGAAACCCAAGCCTCTGCCCACTTAGCTGGCTCCTGGCTGCCACCATCTTTGCCCTGCTAATTTGCACGTTCCTTCCTGATTGGCTGTGGGTGTTGCAGAGTGATGATCAATTACCATATTTCTCTCTTGATTAGTATAATATTAAAACAAATTATTTTCCATTCTACTAATTCCTTTCTAACCATTACATAAAATTTCCCCCACCTAAAAATCCAAGAAATTAAGGAAAGAAAAGAGGACATGAGGCCAATCTTTTTATTTAGTTAAAATTTTCTACAAATGGCTGTACTACACTCTGATTCATTGGTCCTGGAAGAAAAAGAGACTTAAAGTCCAAAAATACATCATCTTAAAATTCTACTTCAGTAAAATAACTTGAGGATTCTGTGGCATTAACTCTAAAGATATTTTCCTTGTTGGAGTTTTTAGAAAACAAATTAATAAAATAGGCATTTCTGCAAGAGAAATTCATTCACTTAGTACTAAAGTTTTGGCAACCAAGTTATAGGGCCAATGCCTATATATAATATGCTTTACCAATACTTATTTATAGAAAGCAGTGAGTCTTGTTTTCTGTATTTTTCAAACTGTGTTCCAAAATTGAGACATGGACTAATGAAGTTGGTCAGACCAAAGAACTAGACCACCACACAAGGAAAAGGGACAAAGTGGTATTTAAGACCAAAGATGGTCCTGTACAAGAACCATTTCAGTCAGTGTGTATGCTGTGCCTCACCTGGCATCATAGTCCTAAAACAGAGGTAAATGAAACCAAAGATAGTAAGGAGATTCTCTATAAATGTTCAGGAATGAGTACATTTGGGATCATAAAAATAAGTTTTTAGAATTGTCATTTCCACCCTGTTCCCATTTATCTCTAGCCATGGAACACATATTTTCCTCTAATCTCTAAAATCTGCTTACTCAAGTCTGGTGTATTGCTGGATAGATGCATCTTTCTTTCTTTTTTTAATTGATTTTTTTTTTTTTTTTTTTTTTTTTTTGCGAGAGAGAGGAAGAGACAGACAGACATTGATGTGTTGTTCCACTTAGGCATTCATTGATTGATCCTTGTATGTTCCCTGACCAGAAATGGAACTACAATCTTGGTACATCGGGACAAGGCTCTAACCAAGTGGGCTACCTGGCCAGGGCCTACCTTTCTTTCTGAAACTCCTTTTTCCAACTCTGTATTATATAAAATAGATCATTAGGTTAAAGGTTCTTGTCAAGCTGAATACTGGATAAAAAATACATCTCTCTCCTCTTTTGAATCAAAGAAAAACTATGCTAAGACCATCTCTTACATGTGAAATACACAAGGATAAAAATATTTAATTAAGCAGTATTTTTATTTTATGTTATGAAAAGGTACTGATTGTGGCTGAATGAGTTATGTAGAACCCTTGGTCTTTACCTGAAACTTATGATTTAGTATTGTCTGGAAAACAGATAATATGTATATTAGAAGACTATATATGTACTCTACCAAGATAAAGTTAAGAACTTCTCTAAGGAGGTCTTACTTTATTTCTGAAATGATGCCATTATTTAAATAAACTTTAAATTTACTCACGTAACCCATGTAAGAACATGGAATTGAAGTAAAAGTTAATATATGACTCAGTCAAACTAACAATGGATACATACTTCTTAGTGCTTATTTTCTCTGGTTTAACTTCTGTCTTCTTATTGAGGTCTTTTAGTGAAGAACTGAGGTAGAGTTCTTTAGGATCTGAAGCCACAGAAGGCATGATGAATAATCCTTACTTTTCCACTTTTACAATGGATGGTGTACTTCAGTAAAAGTAGTTCTTTTCTGAAACAAAATGAACACAAATGATTCCACTAGTTTTCCTCATTAACAAAACAAATGAGCAGTATAAAAAATAAAACAGCTAACCTGTATTCTTTGCTAACAATTAATTTTAAATTATCTTGAATATATCTATTTTGGGAGTTCACAATATATGGAGTATTAATAAACAATTTATTTTAAAATTTTCATTAATTATTGTTTGTATCATTTTATCTTAAGTATTAGGAATCTTTCCTGTTGAAGGAACTAACAGAGTAATAAGAGCTTTTATATTTTTCTTCTATTAAATCTGAATGAATGTGTAGATCATAAATAGGAAGCTTAATTTATAAATACAGGGTATCCCCAAAAATATATATACATTTTTAACAGCTGATAGCTTAATTTTGAAAATGAAATGTATTTTAATAAACACTGTCTTTAATTATTCAAAGTATGTGAATACATTTTTTGAGACACCCTATATATCTTTTTATCATTGATATCTATAATAATAAAAGCATAATATGCTAATTAGACCAGACATCCTTCCATATGACTTTCTGGATGAAGCTGGGGCTGCAAGGGAAGCCTGGGTCCCAAATGCCAGAGGGAAGCCAGTGCTGACAGCTGGGGGAAGGAAGACCTACTCTTGCATGAATTTCATACATTGGGCCTCTAGTCTATTTATAAAAGGAAACAGTGAGGGAGACAAGTGATAGGCAGGCAAGGCCTTTTTATTGGAGCTAAGGACATATGAACATGTTTCTAGCAGAATATACCCAAGTACTTTGGTTTACTCTGTAAAGGTCATTGATGTTTCATGACATTCTTCATTTCCTCATCTGCTTTGGTAAATTATGACTAGGAAGATGGAGGAGGTTGTAAACAAAATAAACAATAGGCTAGGTATATACCAATTAAGGTGTGTGTGTGTGTGTGTGTGTGTATACATACATGTGCAGGGATGCATGTAGATGGGGCAGATCAGGGGAGCACACCAAATGAGGAGTCTTGGCAAGATCGTGTCACCAAATGAAAACTTCAGTAACCCAATTAAATGTATGCAAGATCTTTAGCTGTGAAGAAATACAATTTGAATAAATAACAACTTTAACACATTTACTTATGTTTAAAATATATTTCTTTATTTATTTCAGAGAGGAAAGGAGATAGAAACATCAGATGAGAATCACTGATCAGCTGCCTCCTGCACGCCCCCTAATGGAGATTGCGCCTGCACCCCAGGGATGCACCTTGGCCAGAATCAAACCTGGGACCTTCAATCTGCAGGCTGACAGTCTATCCACTGAACCAAACCAGCAAGGGCAACATTACTACATTTAAAGATTATGGTTCATTTTTTTTCTACTACTTATTTCCACTGTTTTAATGCTCTTCATTCTATCAGTTCACTATTATTAGATGAATGGACATAAATGAACATCTAATTCTAAAAAGCTCAGTAAAGTAAAAAACTGTAAGAGGAAAACAGCTTCTGTTCACCTATGTGAAACTCCAAAAGTGCCCAATCTACTTGATTCTAGTCACATTTACGTTAAATAGTAAAACTTTCTGATTTCTTGATATTCATCCCTTCTAACCCTGTGCATTAATCCACTGATTTAACAAACCTAGCTATATATCTTTCTCTAAAGTCATATTTTTATGATTCTTTATTTTTCCCATTTATATTTGCTCTATGTATTTACAAACATGTTTAACCACCTTAATTAGTAACATCAGATCTATGAAGTTAAAAACAATGAGCTCAGCCCAACCTATGTGGTTCAGGGGATGAGTGCTGACCTATGAGCCAGAAAGTCATAGTTCGATTCCTGGTCCTGGCACATGCCTGCGTTTCAGGCTCAATACCCAGCAGGGGGCATGCTGGAGGCAGCGGATGGATGTTTATTTCTCTCCCTTCCTTTCTCTGAAATAAAAAAAAAACATTAAAAAACAACAACAACAAAAACAAAACACCAATGAGCTCAAACATAAAGATTTTCTACACTTTTCCCTCCATTCTGCTTACTATGTCTAAATCTATAATGATGGGAGAAAGCCTCTGAACCACACCATCAATGCCAAAGAGATTTATTAATGTTAAATATGTCCTGGTTAGGTATCTAATTCATCAATAATTCACCACCAAAACAGCTAAGAGCATTTATTAAGGAAATAGTATGATAGAGATCTGTTGGATTTCCTCATACATTTTATTATTTACTAAAGGCCTAGTGCATGAAATTTGTGCACGGGGGTAGGGGGGTGGGCGGGGAGAGAAGGGGTGTCCCTCAGCCCAACCTGTACCCTCTCCAATCTGGGACCTCTCGGGAGATATCTGACTGCCTGTTTAGGCCCTATCCTTGTGGGCCTAAATAGGCAGTCGGACATCCCTGCTGGCTCCCAACTGCTTGCCTGACTGCCTGATTGCCCCTAACCACTCCCCTGCCAGCCTGATTGAAGCCTAACTGTTCTGATTTAAAAAAAATATTTGGGATATAGGAAGAGCCTGCTATCCATATATATAAAAAGCCAGGGCCATGATGACCCAAACGACTAGTGGCCATGAAGTGGCACTGACTGGCGAATGGGCTAAACGGTTGATCTCTTGGTCCCTCCCCCCACCTCCCTCGGGCAGCAGCGGTGGCTTGCTCCTGCCTCCCTTGGGTGGCACAGCTCCCTCCTGCCTCCCATGGGTGGCAGTGGCTCCCTCCCGCCTCCTGTAAACCGCCACCGCTGCCCACTGTAGCCAGCGAACCAGCCCCATCAGTAGGTGGAGCGGGCCAACGTCGTGACCCCTTCCCCCTCTGGCCTGAGGTTGGCCTGCTCCACCTACTGGCCTGCTCCTGATGGGACTCTTCCATCCCAATCAACAGCGGGCCGCTCAGAGCCTGGCCATTTCTGGCAACCCCAAGTCCTTGGGGTTGAGAATTCTGATGGCCCTGCCCAGAGCGTAGAGGTGCCTGACCGGCAGGGACAGGGACCACAGGCCTCCAGGGAGCACCGCAGAGTTGGCAAGGAGAGGAGAGGGCCTGCGGAGGGGGAGAAGTGAAGCCAGCGGACATCAGCCCAGAATACTGCCCTTCCCCCAGAGGCAGCGGGCCCTCAACCCAGAACCCCAGCCCGAATGGGAAGAGCCTGAGGAAGGCTTCAGGAAGTTCTACGCAGAGCTGCGCATTGAGAACGAAACTTCGTGAGGCCCTGACCGAGACCACGTCGTGGCTGGCACAGCTCAATGTGGAGCTGGAGTGTGCACACAGAGGCAGAACACTTTGCAGAGAGGTCAGCCCCCCTGGAGCTGGAGAGATTTGAGTGCAGGGCCCTGGAGCACAAGGCCACTGAGCTTAAAGAGGAGCTGAAGGGCCTGTCCAACCTCAAGGCTGACAACCAGTGCCTCAAGGACAAAAATGCAGCCCTGATCCGAGTCATCAGCAAACTGTCCAAGTGATCCCAGAGGACTTGCCCCTGCACCCACATTTATACAGCTGCTTCTGCCACACGCACCCCTTCTCCTGTGTGAACACGAATGACAGGGCTACCAGGGAGTCTCTCAGAAGCCATTACCTCTCCTTGGGACCTCCAGGCTGGGAGGGGAGGACAGAGCCCCCAGGAGCCAAGGGGGCCATCTGAGGCCAGGATAGAGACATGAGGCTGAGCCAAGTAGGGGGACCAGGGCTGCAGGCAGGACCAGGAAGGAACCGAGGACCAGGAAGTGCCAGGACCAGTAGCCAGGACCAGAGTGGCTACCAGGTACCCTCTCATATGTGCTGCCACCAGTCACCCCTCCCGCCTCTGAGCAGGGACCTGAGAATGTGCCAAGCATCCCGCTGGCCTGGGCCGGATGGGCCTGTATATAGGGTCCGTGTGCAATGGGGAGGAATGTCTCCTAATTTTTGCTACCCCCTGCCCAACACTGGGGGAGAAGGGCGGGGAGGTGGGCGGGGCTGCAAGCAGCGGCAGGCTACTGCACACACGATTTTGCACATTGGGGAAAAAAGTTATATATATATATAACTTTGTGAAGTACAACTTCTGTACAGGGGTGTGAGTGGAAGCAAAAGCACAAACATTGAGGAATGAAGAAATGGAAGCAGATTGTAGATAACTTTTTAGAAATTGGCAATAAAAGAGAGAATGATGGGATTGGATGGAATGGTATTCCAGAAAAATGATTTCTGAAACACAAGAAGTAGCAGCTGAGGAATGCTTTTGACTAAGAGAAAGTAAGGTCAAGAAACTGCTTTTCATCTTGGCAGGTTTGGCTCAGTGGATAGAGTCAGCCCGAGGACTGACTCAATTCTGGTCAAAGGCATGTATCTTGGTTGCAGGCTTCATCCCTGGCCCTGGTCGGGGCACAAGCAAGGGGCAACCACGTGTCTCTCTCACACTGATGTTTCTCTCTGTCTCTCTCTCTCCCTTTCACTCTCTCTAAAAATCAATGGAAAAAAATATCCTTGGGTGAGGATTAAAAAAGAACTAACTGGGGAAAGGGCAGAGGGTGGGATGGGAACCTGGTGGAGGAGAGCAATGGATGGGGGGGGGGGGGAAAGAAGGAACATTTGTAATAATATGAACAATAAAAATTTATTTAAAAAAAGAACTAACTTTTCAGGAAGGTACTTAAAGAAACCTGAGGCCTTAGTGATACCACAACAGACATCTCTGTGGCAGAGGGCAGGGAACACTGGAGCTTGGACTATTAATGAGGTCCAGAAGACAGTAAGAAGAAACCAGTAACAAGAGTTACCCCTGACTTTTCTGCTCCCAACTAGCTCAGATTACTCAACCACAGAAGGCAACATTTGCTCCTCCGACACAGGCCAGCTCTTGAAATGGAATTCCCAAAAACAACAATCCTTTTTTCCAATTCTATTCTCTATCTCTAGGGTCACAAGTGCTACTGGTCTAACCACAGAATGTACCAGTATGTTCAAAAAGTCAGGTGGAGCCCTGGCCAATTGGTTCAGTTGGTTGGAGCATCATCCCTATACTGAAAGGCTGTGGGTTTGATCCCCAGTTGGGCTACGTAAGGGAGGTAGCCGATTGATGTCTCTCTCTCTCCCTTCCTTTCTTTCTAAAAGCAATAAGCATATCCTCAGGTGAGGATTAAAAAAAAAAAAAAAAAAGCCAGTGGAGTCTATTTTGCCGAGTCATGACAATTAGGTTTCCTGGCTAGGTAAAGAAAGCTGCTGATTTGAATCTTTTAAAATGAAGGTCTAAAATGTGTTCTCAGGTGAATCTGTTTCTCATGATTACCTTTAAAGTTTGGATCTTTAAAAGACAAAGGATATTAAAACTATATGTGCTACCTAGGCAACTTAAAATCATAAATCATTAGCTATTTCAAAGTTAAATAAAAGGAATACATATTACATGGCCCCATTTGTATAAAGTTTAAAAACAAACATTTATTTGAATGGTATATTGCTGTATTCTATCATTTACAGATATTCTGCTAAATGGAAGACACTGTATTTCTAGGAACTCAAAGATCAGATTTGATCTGCTTCCTCACAAAGTTTAAAAAACCAATGTGACAGAAAATTGTAAGAAATGGTAATACAAATAGTATCATGTCATACTATAAAGAGATACAATAATGTACAACCGGAAAATTAAGAAGGAAGATTAAGTATGACTAAGTAAGTGGGATGCTGGGAGGCATCATGGGAAGAGATAGCATTTATGTGAGTCTTGGTGGGAGAAGGTTTTTGACAGAGATTAAGAACAGTATGAGGAAAACTCAAAAAAGTAAAGAACATCTTTAGGAACTAGTCAGTACAGAGAATGATCAAAGTTCTACTAGAGACTAAACTTGAAAAAAATACTCCAGAAAATGGAAGGCCTTGAATGTCACAAAAAGCATTTATTATTTTATTTTCTAAAAGTAACAGAGCCATAGCAAGATTCTAACAGTGGCGTATGTGATCCAAACTGACAACAGTACAAAGGCTTTAAGAGACTGGAGAAAAGGAACACTCTTGTTACCTATCAGAATGATCCTAAGGAAATATGATGAAGGTCAGAACTAGGGCAACAGAGATGGAATAAAGGAGGCAGATACAACAGACACTGCAAAGGTAGAATGACAAAAACTGCAAAGGTAGAATGACAGGACTTGGCAAATGACTAGATACATGGCGGCAAAGTACAGGAATAAGATTATGATGACATCTAAGTTTTTAGTGAAGGTTTCTATGAGAAAGTCTGTGCCCACCATAACTTCATGGCCCACAATTCCTTTTTTAAAGTTACCTTTTCTGTCCTTATTTAATTCTTGAAAACTGAAATAAGTAGTAATCAAAGGACTAATTTTGTTTCCACATTAATTCGCAAAATTATCTCTATATATAAAAGCCAAGCGACCGGGATGCCAGAATGACTAGTTGCTATGATGCCCACTGCAGATGGCCAACTGCCCACGGCCCCTTCCCCTTGCCAGCCCCACCCCAATCAGCCCCCCCCCCCCCAATTGGGGGCAGGGCTGGCCAGCCAACCTTCCTCCTCCCCGCCGGATTGGCCCCCATGGGGAGAAGGCCGCTGGAATTCCACCCATACATGAATTTGTGCACCAAGCCTCTAGTCTATATATATATATATATATATATATATATATATATATATATACACACACACACACACACACACACACACACACACACATATAATCCTAAACCACTGTTTGACCAGTAGCTATGATGTGCACTGACCACCAGGGGGCAGACGCTCAACACACAGGCATGGAAACATGGAACAGACTGATGAATCTCAGAGGGAAGGGGAGAAGGGGGAGGGGAAGAGATTAACCAAATATCTTATATGCATACTAGAGGCCCAGTACATAGATTCATGCACTGGTGGGATCCCTCAGCTTGGCCTGTGTGGACTGGGCCGAAAAAAGCAGTCTGCCATCTCCCGAGTGGTCCTGGATTGCGAGAGGAACTCTAGTATAAGCTAAATTGTCAAATAAGATGCCTGGTGTTGCTCCAGCTGGGTGGGTCAGTTAGTTGGAACATTTTCCCATCTACCAAAAAGGTTGCAGGTTCTATTCCCAGTCAGGCCACATACCTAGGGTTTGATCCCTTGATCATGGTACCTATGAAAGAAAACTGATCAATGCTTCTCTCTAAAATAAATAAAAACATCCTCCAGAGAGGCTTTAAAAAAAAAAAAAGCTCAATGTCAAATACAGCATAGCCCTGGCCAGTGTGCTCAGCGGTTAGAGCACTGGCCTGCACCCTGAAGGATCCTGGGTTTGATTCTGATCAAGGGCACATGCTCATATTACAGGCTCCATCCTGTGTGGAGTGTGCAGGAGCAAGCCAATCAATGATTCTCTGACATCATTGATGTTTCTCTCTCCCCCGCCCTTGCTCTCTGATATCAACAAAAATATACTTTTAAAAAAGGTTAAGAACTCTAGCTTTGCCGGGACCGGTTTGGCTCAATGGATAGAGCGTCAGCTTGGGGACTGAGGGGCCCTGGGTTCGATTCCGGTCAAGGGCATGTACCTTGGTTGCGGGCATATCCCCAGTAGGGGGTGTGCAAGAGGCAGCTGATCGATGACTCTCATTGATGTTTCTAACTCTCTATCTCCCTTCCTCTCTGTACAAAAATCAATAAAATTTATTAAAAAAAAAAGAAAAAAAAAAAAAAAGAACTCTAGCTTTTTTTAAATAGCAATGCTCCAAAAGTAAAATCCAGGCAGTGCTGAAAATGAGTTAACAAGTGGGAAGAAAATGGAAGGCACATATATCCATCTTTTTAACATCCTTCTGATCCTTCCAAAGAGAAAGAGAGATTAGATGATTTGAACCACAAAGTAAAGACTACAAAAGTGAAGATTGAGGTTTGTAGTAATTTAAACTGGTTCTGATATCTCCACTAGGGTTTAACGCCAGCCATTGTGGAGATTCTTGGCAACCTTGGAAGGAAAGCAAAGTTTGTCTTCCCTGCACCCATCATCTCACCTCACCTTTGCCCGTCAACAGCACGAGTATGCATTATATGTTCTGACTGACTTAAATTTCATTTAACCCACTTTATACTTATTCTAGTTAAAATGACACACATATCATGAATATTGATGAAATGTTTTTTTTTTTAAGCAATTCTAAAGTACTAAGAAGACTCAACCTTTTCAAGAAATGTCACTGCTAAAATTTCTGTTATTTTCTGAGTATCTACTATGTGTCTAGCACTGTACATTTAGGTCACAAACAGCTTTTAAAAATATAAAACTGAGGAGAAAATATGAGAGAATGTTACATACAGTAAAGACCTATTTCATGAAATTTTATTTTTGGTTATATGCATGTATGTATGCTTATATAGAGCACTGAGTTGAAATGTAAAATGTATTTCTTGGCCTTGGCCAGGCAGTTCAGTTGGATAGAGCAGTGGTCGGCAAACTCATTAGTCAACAGAGCCAAATATCAACAGTACAAC